TGCGGCCGTGCGGATTTCTTCACAAAATCCCGCACGGCCGTCCGAAGGGAAAACCGGCTTCTGCCCAATTTCGGGAAACGGTGCGGCCGTCCGAGAAATAGGCTGCAAAATGGGACGGCCGTCCGAACTCAACAGGGGCTGTTTTAAATTTTCGAAAATTCGATTTTCTCCCCCATATTTTTTTCTTAAACCCTCCTCTTTCCTTTTCTCTAACTCCCACACACGAATTTTCGAATTTTTTGAATTTCTCTTCCAAACATTCTTCGATTCCACACACATAATTCACTCACACACTCTCCGAGTCTTATTTTGTGTTGGTATTGACAGGGAGGCTAGAACATCGAACCAACTTCTTCAAAATCTCATCTTTCGATCAAGGCACGCCCGAGTGCATCGAGCCGGCATCCACCGGCACCCATTCGTGAGCCCGTGCCCGAGCTTTCCGATGAGGATGAGCATGAGAGAAGGAGGGAGGAGCACCCCGATCACATCGACTTCGACTAAATCAGGTGTTTTCTATCCTTAAAACTTTGTACTAATTTCGTTGAGGGCAACGAAAATTTTAAGTTTGGGGGTGAAAAATATGTTTTTTTGTGCTTATTTGCTTTAGTTTGCATGCATTAGGTTTTATTCGTTTTTATTGTTTTTCCCGTTTTTTCCGGAATATAAAAAAAAAAAAAAAAAAAAAAAAATATATATATATTTTGCTTGAGTCAAAGGCATCTATGATTTATGATGATGAGAGATGATCAATGTTTGATGATGAAATTGCTTGTTTTGTGTGATAAGGATTTGATGTTTGTTTAGCTTTCGATTCAACGGGACTTAGAAGCGAATTATTGCTAGGAATCACATTTTGTGCATTGCTTTGGTTGAATGTTTTGTATTTTAAATTTGGAATTAATTTGTGCTAGATCATGCTATGTTCGGTTTTAGAACTCACCTTAGGAAATTTATGATACGAAGTATTGAGTAGTAGGTGACTTGGGATATGATTTGGGCCTTCTTTGAACCGTTTGAGCCTTTCAAGCCGACCTTTTTATCGAAATTATCCTTCGAACCTTGATTTGAGCCTCGGAGAAAAGGTGTTCTTTCTTTTAGCCAATGTGTAAGGTAGAATAGGTGGAGATTCTTGAAAATTACCCCTTGGAGGTTCGGGCGAAAAATTTTAAAAAGGGCCCTCCTTCTTCTTCGGAAAAAAAAAAAAAGGAAAAAAAAAAAAAAAAAAAAAAAAAAAAAAAGAAGAAGAAGAGACTAGAAGGGAGAAATAAGGACTAGTTGTTGAATTATTTTTGAAAACTCGATCCATTGCCGCAAAAGCAAAAGTGGAGACTTTTGAACTTTTGAGAATCGAGTTTATTAAAGTCCTTAGAGGTGAATTCATTGTTTCAAACGCCTATCTTTCAAATTTCGGCGTAATCACCTAAATTCAAGAAAAATAGCCACATATACCCATATTTCCTACCTCGAACCAAAGAGCCTAACAATTGAAAGCCACAAAGCCCCAATGATCCCAATAGCTTAATGTTCGATATTAGTGGAGTAGAATAATTTGGTGAGTATTTGGAGTCAAGCATATGCATGTAAGTATAAATTCTTTCTATCTTTAATTTGCAGATATTGGATGCGTGAAGCAATTGTATGAATTGTGGTTTTTGGTAATGGTGAATGACTAAGTGTTGTTGAATTTTGAGCTTGCGAATACCTAAGAATTGTCAATATAATTTCAAGTTCTGAAAATGTGAAGTTGATCATTGATCTATGTGATGAGATGTAATAGTTGAGTTATTTGCTTATTGGTAGATTTTGCTTGAGGACAAGCAAAAGTTCAAGTTTGGGGGTGTGTTAAGTGTATATTTTTACACTTTATCGTATCTTTTTATTTGAGCTTTTGGTGTGTTTTAACGATAATTGATGCTTAAAAAGTTGATTTATTGTATTTTAGGTACAAATTGAAGAATTGGAAAAGTATGGGGTCAAAACTGCAATTTTGGAGAAAATATGGGCCAAAAGTGAAAAAAGCAGAATTCTGGAGAATAGACCGCGCGGCCGTGCGGATTTTAGGCATAAATCTCACACGGCCGTCCGGATGGGCGAGTTGGCGCAGTGAAGGAATCTTAATTGTACAAGGAAACTGCCTTCTTCCCCAAGTTTTTCACCCTATATAAGACCAAGCCAAGCACACAATTAGGAATCCATCTTTTTACGCAATTTCAAGAGCAACAAAGCGAAGACTCCAAGCATAGATTTATCGTCTATGATTTATTTTCCTTGCGTTTTTGATTTAATTATGAGTAGCTAAATTACTTATTTCTAGGATTTTATTTGGAACCCTATGTGGGATTTATGAACCCTTTTCTATGATTTTATGCAAGTTTTAATTCCGGATTATTTCTTCTACTTGTTTTATTAAGTGCATGAACTTGATCAACTTATGTGCTTTTATGTTATTGTTAATCGCATGAATCGGAAGATCGGGTTAATAATTAGAACTGTGGTAGAAGAGCCTTTGTGGTATTAACATAGGAATATAGTTAATCTCTTAGGTAGCCATTATTGAGATTTGTGCTTAATGATGTGTTCTAGAATTAATTGCATAGGAATATAGTAATTGAATCTAGAGTATTAGAATCGTAATACACGCGGAAGCGGGTTATGATTATTTTAGCATCTCAGGTTAATAATCCGGGTTAATTACTTGCATAATTGAAGGAATTGGGGGAATAATAATCACATAGGGGGAAGAATAAAATCCTAGGCTTGTCTACTTTGATTAATCTTCGTTTTAATTGCTTTCTTGTTTTTGTCTTTTTAATTGCTTTAGTTTAATTTAGCTTATTAATCATCTTTCGACTGTGTAGGGTGGGCTTGATAACAATTGGTAGAATTTAGCGTCTAGGATTAGATAATTAAATATTCCCTGTGGGTTCGATATCCGGACTTAATTGTCCACTTTATTACTTGTACGATACGTGCACTTGCGTGTAGGTTTTCGCCCAACAATCATCGCCACCGTCAGCTGACGTCGTCATGCAATAATGAGGGGCTGGATTGAAATACACACAGAAATTATTGTATTCGGCGTCGTCGTAAGGGGACCTTATTAAGGGAATGAGATCGTCCAGCGGGTGGTGATCGAAACTCGTGATGTTCGAATTGTCGTGTAGGGATTGGAGAGAACACGACCTGAAACTGCGGTTGGGGAGATCGGGGTGTAGGACGACGAGCTTGCGGTGATCGAGGCTCGACGAGTTCTTCGCCAGGTGGCGTTCGACGAAATGTTTGCTGGAGATTAATGACCGCCATTGTTTCGAAACGCACTTGAATCTCAATAGGGTTTTCACCGGAAGATTGCACAAGAGGATTTCTTCGATTATTTCTTCGGGGAGATCACCGTGCATGGTTTTCGATCTCTTGTCGACTCTCGATCGCTTAGAGCTCATAGACCCCATTATTCTTTGATTGCTTAAAGATTCAACCTTTATGCTTTATTTTACATATACATGCATATATTTATAGATTAGATAGATTACAATTTACAACAATTAACTTATTTGCATAATTGCACCATTAATAATTAGTTGTTAAAGAATTCAATTGAAATCAAATTAGGACTTTATTTCCTTAATTAATTATCCATCCAAAAGTTCAAATAAAATCAAACAATTGAAATCAAATTAGGATTCTCTTCCCTTATCCAACAAACAGTTCAAATCAAATCAAACGATTGAAATCAGATTAGGGTTTTCGTTCAAGAAGCTGATTTTTATTTTGGGATAGAAAAAACAAATATAACTATCCCGGATTGTTACCAAGTTCAAGAAGCCGGATTTTTCAGTAGAGTTTATTTTGGGAAAAGGGAACAAAAATATAGGGTTACAATTTTTTTTTTTTTATTTTAATTAAGATTTAAAATTAAATTTAAAAAAATAAAAAGAACCCTAATGAGGGTTTGAAAAGGGTATAAAAAAAAGATGTAAGATAATTATTTTGGTTTATGTGAGAGAAATCAATTGTTTGCTTTGGCATCTAAAGCAAAGCATCTAATTAGGTTATTGTAAGAACTAATTAATCAATGGTGATTAGAATAAAAAACACACATGTGAGACAAACTTGGAAGCATTTGATTCCTAATCATTTATTAACCACAAAAACAAAAGGATTATCAGTACCTTTTATCCAAAGCATATATCTTCGTCTTGCCGTATAACAACGAAAGATCGAAGATCTTTTTACTTAATAGTACTAATCGCGGTCGAAGTAGGGCTGTAAACGAGTCGAGCTTTGTCTGTTTTAGCGAGCTTGAGCCCGAGCTTGTTTGTTAGAGAATATTATATTATAGAACTCTTCTAATATTAGAGAGCTTGTTTGTTAGAGAATATTATATTATAGAACTCTCCTAATATTAGAATTCTAGTATGATTCGGTTATCTAGATTAGTTAGGATTTAGTTATCTAGTCAAACTCAATATTTCTCTAACCCATACCATAATAGGGGTTTCTATTATATTACGTATTATTATTTCTCTTCTCTCTTTCTCTATTCTTCCTTGTTGAGCTCGAGCCTGAGCCATTTTGTGTATTTTATTTATTTATTAATATTATTAGACACTTATTATTATAAGTTATAATTAAAAATTGAAATAAAAAAAGACCTGTAATTTATTTTTTTAATTGTTTATATGAATTTATTATTTGTTTTATATTAATTATATTTAAAATTAAAATAAAATGTTAAATTACAACTAAAAGAAAAAGCTCGCAAACCGGATCGCGAGTTCATGATCAACTAAAAATAAGCTCGGGCTCGACTCGTCAGAAAGCTCGAACTCGAAAAAAACCGAGTTCGAGTTCGAGCTTTTGTCGAGTTGGCTCGGCTCATTTACACCCCTAGATCGAACCAAAAACAATAATAATATAATAATAAAATTAAAATAGAAAAAATATATATAAGGATAGGTAGTTATATACTTATATTCCCTGTAAAATCCATAGACAAGAACATTGTATTTTAGTTGGCCAAGAAAGGAACCCTTAAATCTCGAAAGTTGGCAAGAACATATTGATTGTACCTGAATGAGGGCATTATAGTCATTTTCTCTTACCAAATGAATCTAACATTTCTGACTAGTTGAAATTATTGCACTTTTTTTCCAACAGTCTTTCATTAATTTTTTTATCCAGAATAATAAAGTTTCTTGATAATTAGTAGTACTTGAGTGGTTAGTTAGTTTCTTGCATTGCTTTTTTTCATCATAGGAAAGAAGAAGATGATGTTGTTATGCAAGATCCACTGTCCATTGATGTGTTTCTGCAAACCCTCTCCCGATAATTCATCGTCGACAGTTTACGCCGAAGAAGAGAGTGTGATTGTGAAGAGTGACGCGAAGATTTTACTCAAAAGCTGTATCAAAAAGCTCGATTCTTGCACCATCTCCGTTAACGAAGGTGCGAAGAAACGAGTGCATTGGAGGGATAACTTGGGGGAAGAACTTTCTGAGATCACGGTGTTTGAATCCAGGTGCAAATCTTTTTTCTTTTTCTTTCTTTTTTTTTTCTTTTTTTTCGATGTCGTTTGATTCTTGACGAGTTTAATAATGTAAGAAAAAAAATTCCATGCATAATGAATGATATTGCAAATTCTTGCATCAGTGAAACAGGGTATACCGATAACGAAGAAGGAAGCAGCCATTGTCTATGTGTCATTCTATGATGTTTGCTCCGATTCGGCATTTTTTTTATGGAGGGGAGATATTTGACGAGGCATTTGTGACCGTTGATCCAAGATTCTTCGTAAAACATAAACGCGTACACGTGTTAGTACTGTGAGTTTCATCTTTTGGCTTCGAAGAAGAGAATTAAGATTTTTCTTGCCTCTGCCCAAACTGTAAATTACCGTTAATTTGCTAGATCGAAGATAATGACGGTTCAAGAAACGGAGAAAAAATATAATTGTCTGTAAAATAAACAACCTATTGACCGGCTCATTGACCAAATGTCGATTGTTATGAACCTGCATTAGTGAACAAAAATAAAAAATAGTTTCGAAAAATTTGCACTACTCGATATTTTCACAAATGGTATTATCTTATTCCTTCTTAAACTTTACGAACGAGATTCTAATAGTACAAAGAGAGCAGATACAAGTGTAACGGATGCAATTGAAAGAAACAATCGTTAACTCTTTAAAGAAAATTAAAAAAAAAAATGATAGCGAGTATTCGACTGAGCTAGTCCTATATACATTATCCGATTATCTGGGAGCTCTCTTTTCTACAGCTCAGCAGCTCACTCGTTATACAATATTCTTCGAAATTGCGTTCTCAATCCAGCTTTTATTTCTTGTTGAATCCAAATAAAGATTTGATAGCATTGATGGCGTTTTCGTTGATAAACGATTCATCGAATTTCTTCATAAGAGACTCGAAACCCTCCGATTTCCTGACGTTTTCAAGGTCGGGATCTGCCCGAATTCTCTGTCCAAAAACGGCAGCACAACAAAAACCGGATTTAAGAAAATAAACCGACCATAATTAATGATGTATTTTTCATACTTACTATATACAACTAACCTTAAAGTCTTCAAAACCATCTTTCATAGCATCCTCTAGCGCCGAAAGTCCAGCTTGTAGCTGCAACAAGTCACAAGGCAAATCGTAAATTAAAATAAATAAAGGGTAAATTACAACCACCCCTGAGGTATGATAAAATTACGAAAACCCCCCTCGTGTTTGGGTAATTACAACAGCCCCCTCAATTATAAATTTTCTTACAGGTCCACCCTTGCGGTTTCAAATTTAGTGTCATCTATTTGATTATATGGAATATTATCACTTTTATACCCGTTTTATCCCATTTGAGCTCCACATTTTTTAAGCAAGATGACCATAAGATGTATTTTTTTGGCTTGTATATATCAGATTGTGGTGCATCAGATTTTTACACAAAACAAGTACAAACTAGAGCACATTCCACAGAATCTGGATGATTATTTTGAATTTGACACCATAAGGGTGGAGGTGTAATTATCCAAACAAGAGGGGTTTTTTTGTAATTTAACCATACCTCAGGGGTGGTTGTAATTTACCCATAAATAAAAAACCGAAGATTTCGGACACTTATTTTCTTGATTAATATTTTTACCTGATTAAGCTTTGAATAGCAGCAAGCTACATTGTAACTCGCTACCGCAGCTTCGTTTTGCTCCGGTTTCGATCCCAATACCGACTCGAATTTTTCCAAAGCATCTTCGTATTTTCCACTCCTTCAATAATTTTTCCGAAAAAATAAAAATAAAAATAAAACAGAGGTGCATGATAAAGATGTTCGTTCGTAACAAGGTCTTACTTGTAAAGCTTCAATCCTTCAAAAAGATCTTTCTCTCTCTGTTCTTTTTGTTCTTTTTTCCTCAAGTAGTTTTGCATCTACATAATCGAACTTCAATTTCAGCGATAAACGAAAAGCCAAATAAACCATTGTAGATAATATATATATACATACATACACACACATATATATATAGCAGCACTTACTTGGATTTCCCTCAATTTGAGGCTAACATTACCGGAGTTCCTCTCGGCTCTGAGAATTTCCTTTTCACTCAATTCGCCCGTGTTATCCATCTTTCCTGATTAGTAATTACCAAATTACCACAATAAAATTAATCCAACGTATTTACATCCCCTTTCGAAAGTGTTCAACGTGCACTAAACATCATTATCGAGCCTAAATCACCGAAACCTCACCATATCTCTTCTGCATTTTCATAAGCAGAGGGCCGATTCTCTGTCGAATAGTGTACATGGTTCTTCCATATTCAGCGGCAGGCCATATTTCTTCCCCGAAAACTGCACTGCATTAGTTATATATTCAGCTATTATATAATCAAATCAAGATACTACAACAACATCATATATTGTCAAGACAATAATAACTAGATTCAGTTCAGAGTTCAGACCCACAGCAAAAATAAATCAACTCAAAATTAACAAGATCAAGTGTAAAAATTCCACAGGGGCAAAACAACAAACACCTGGTGGCCACAACTTTATCGCCAACGGTGAAGACGCCAGTCTTGTCAGCAAACCCTCCCGGCGCAATGGCGTCTATGTAAGTCCCGCCGTCTCTACCCTTTGCGAATCTCAGACCGTACGGCTGCACCAACTCCACCTCGTACTCTTCGAATTTTTCCTCGTCGCCGGCCGCCTGAGCGTCGGTTTTGGAAGCTTTCACGGCCAAGATCGATGCTTTCGACGAATGGGCATTGCAGAAAGTGGTAGACGAAAGTGGGTATTGGCTCTTGGAGTGGTGGTTGAGCTTGAGCAAACAGCACGGCGGTGGGTTTAGCTTCGGAGATGGGGTTGCCCTCGTTGGCAGCGGCGGAGAAGAAGATAGAGAGATGTAGGTGCTCGACGCCATTGATCTTTTCTCCACCTCGAGCTGTGTGTGTTTCTCTGAGAATCAAGAATCATGAGGACAAGAAGAGATTGCAGAGAGACTAGTGGCTGGAGTAGTCCGGTTTGAAAATTGGGTTTAATCTTTGTGGTGCCACGTGGCGCACTTGGGAGTTGGGGATGACAGGACAAAATGGAAACCGGACATTGTTTAAGAAGAATGGCCCAAATAGGGATAATTAGACTTTTGGTCCCTATATTATATAACAAAATTAATTTTACTCCCTATAATTTTCTTTCCACGATTTTAGTCTGTGTGTGTGTATGTACACCATGGTACTTAATCTCACGATATATATTGCGATACGGTATGGTTCCAATCAAAACGATACAACTCGGATTATGTATCGCCGATTGATAAATACCGTTAAATATCGCGAGATATCGTATCGCTGTATCACGATACGATACGATATTGACGATATTAGTCAACCTTTAAAAAAATGAAAAAAAAAACGAAGAAGAAAGAAGAAGAAATGTAGTCAACTACTCTGAAAAACAATTTAGAACAGATTTCTTCAATATCCCAACCCTAATTCACATTTTTCTCTTCAATTTCTTCACCAACCCTCACAATATTACAACCCTAATTCAAGTTCTATAGATTCTTGCGATTCAAGACCAATTCGAGGTGTTTTTTTGCTGGATTTTCCGATTGATGATGATGAATGCAATCGTTTAAAATTGGTAGATGATGACGATTTAAGTGACATTGATCTTCAAAATTATGAGATATCGAATATTTTAGAAATTAGGTATTCGGATTTGAACTTAGGGACAATTTGGTTAAGCTTATTTTACACAGTTGATAAACTCTTACATTTGATAAGTTGTTTTAAGAGCTGATAAGTTGTTACGTCTTACTTTTAAAATTATTTTTTTCAAGTGTTCGGATAGTGATCTTACAAGCTATTTTATTCATTATATGACCTTAAATAAATAGGTGGGTAAAAGTACTTTTTAAAAAAATCTTATTTGCTCTCCAGTAGCCTATAATATTTTGACTTTTTAAGATCTTTTAAAAAAATTACCTAACACACTAGAATAACTCTTAAACATCTTATAAGCTCGTTTTAACGTCTTATAAGCCTAGCCAAACACCCTCTTAGATGATGTTATTTGATGAATATATATGATTTTTGTCATACTTTATAATATGATGTTGAAACTTGAATTTATACCTATTTTAAAATAAGTAGTTATATTAAATTTTACATATTTATAATATTTTTATAATGTAGATATATATTTTTTACTAGTTTAATAGTTGTTTAAATATCCTAAGGTACGGTACGATAACGATACGATACGAGACATGGAGAAAACGATACGATATATTTTTACGATCCGATAACCCTGATGTACACTGGCGAATCCAGGATTTTTGTCAAGGGTGTTCGAAATTAAATATCAAAAAGTTCAATGATTGAGTAAAAGTTTGCGGGGGTTTGGGGACAGCACCCCCGATTTTTTTAAGGATTATAGACATTAAATAATAAAAATATGTAATATTTTCAAATTTAAAAAGATTATTCTATAAATTTTGGGGTAATTTAGAAAATATTTAGACATAAAATTCGTGAAAATATTAAAGGGGTGGTAAATAAATTAAAGTTACAACTTACAAGTAGCATAATGTGTATTTCATTAGCGGATTTTGAATATTCAATTTATAAAAAAAAATACCCATAGTTTGAAATTTAGAAAATAATTGAAATAATATGTATATATAAAACATTAAGAGTTTTGGAATAATTTAGATTTTATTAAAAGAGAAAATTGGAGAAAATGTTAAATGAATGGTAAATAAATTAAAGTTGCAATTAACAAAATATATTTTCTTGATTTTTTGAAATATGAATATACCAACATATTTGAAAAATTAGAAAACAATTGAAATAGGTGCACGTAATGGAATTTGAACCTTGTACATTTTGGATAAAAGTTCCCTACAACTTAAATACAATAAATTTTGAATATCAAATTCAATTAGTTTTTTTTTTTTTTTTGACAAAATCAAATTCAATTAGTTTATATATACAGAAAATTAAAAATAAAAAAGAATAGGAAGGAACAACAGCACATTTGATAAATGTGAAGCTGACATTTTACCAGTTCGGCTACACATGGCCATGGGCCGGTTCCAGGCCGGTTCACTCTGGTTCGCGGTTTATTTTTTCCGAAACTGGAAATAAATACTAAATGGATAAATAAATTAAAAGAATTAATTTTAAATGGAAAAAAAATGAAATAAATAAAAAGACTTGAACGTATCTTTTCAGGAAAAAATGGGGTGTGAGGGTATTTATAAGTAAAAATGGGGAATTAAAAAAGAGCAAATAACAGTCGGTTCACCGCGACTGTTCACTGGGCCGGTTCACGGGGCCGGTTCACTGGATCGGTTCACTTTTTTCGGTTTTTTTCAGCTTTTTTTTTTTTAAGTAAATCCGGGTGAACCGTCGGGCGGCCCGACGGTTCACGATTCACCTATTTTTAAAACCGGGTCCGTCCCGAGGTACACGGGCCGGTTCACGGTTCTGGGACCGGTTCGTACGGTTCGTCAACATGTCACTTCGGGCCGGTTCCAGGCCATGGGCCCATGGTCGTGCCTAAGTTGAGCAACACCATCACATTAGACATTTACACATTCACATGTATATATAAGGTAAATATATAGGGAATATTTTTTATTTTAAACCAAGGGTGTTCAGTTGTACACCTTTGGACCACACTAGATACTCCACTGTGTATGTACGAATGTATGTATGAAATATTAGTATTTAACTAAAATTAATTATAAAAATCAAAATTTGAAATATATTAATAAAATTTAGGTAATTCGATTTTTTATCAAATCGTACGATAAACGGTACGAAATTTCGGTACAATTTTATCGAATGAGTAAATTTACCAACTGAAGGGGTTGTTCGTAAGACAATTGGGGGGATGACTGTAATTATGCAAGCAATAGGGTTTTTTTTTTTCCCATGAATAAACAAATAAAAAAGAAATATGTGAAAAGAAAAGAGTGAAAATAAATCTGAGACTGTAGCACGAGAAAATAATATTCACTTCGTCGACGATGGCTATCGGTTTCTTGATCAATTGACTGGGAAGTACTTTGTCCTTCATAACCTACTCCCAGTAGACTGGTATACATGGTGTTCGGTTTAAGATCCACTGATCGAGCAATTCTTGGTTGAAGGACATGTTAGTATACACAGAGAATATTTGATATGACTGCAAGTACCATCGTGCGACTTACCTTCAGCTCTGTTAGACGAATAGTAATTTCCTCCTCATCGTTTACCACGTCCCAATATTTTATATTTTCCCTCAAGTCGTCTGGATACCAAACAAGAATTCCATCTATAAAAAGCCATTGTCCAGGGGAAAGTCTATGCCATGTTGCAGAGAAACGCTTGACGGTCCAAGTACTGTCCAAGATTGAATACACTCTAATGCCACCTGTAGTTGTAAAGAAAATCTTCATATTGCCAGCTTGGTTGCACAGTTCAACCGCTTGACCTGTGTTTTATCTTGCTTATCAAAATACTAATTAAGTATTCTTAACCCCTGTTGAACCAAAGTATAACTTCATCCAGATATGGTATTAATTAAAAATGATTTTAAAATGAAATTTCAAGTTCAGATTGTATTTATCCAAATGTATTAATTACCAAAAGCAACATAAGTCCGAGGAAAAACCAAAAGAAAAAATTACCCGAGGGGAACAAGTTTCGTGACTCCGCCGTCGTTAGTCGCGGTTGGACTAAGACCCAGTGGAAGGCCGATGTTGTTCGTCGTAGCTGGACTAAGGCCAGTTCCGCCGAGGGGAAGGCGGGCGCCTCCGGAAATGAAATTTGCGAATCCCCTTCCGCCGTCGTTTATCATGGCTGGACTAAGACCAGTGCTCCCCAGTGGAAATTCGACGTCGTTCGTCGCGGCTGGACTAAGGCCAGTGCCGCTGATGGGAAGGCCGACGCCTCTGGAAACGAAATTCACCCCCTCAGCCGTTATTCGCCATGCCAAAGAGAACGGAAATGAGAAGCACAAACACCATTGCAACCAGAGTATTTGGTAGCGCTACCATATAAGATTGGTAGGGTTTTGGGCGGTTACTCTCAATTTAAATTGAAAGTACTGACTGAAACTAACTTGCAAATATAAGTAGTGTTGTAAGGCTTCGATCGCATGGCCTGAGTAGGCTGATGCATGGATGAAGGAAAATATGACCCTCGCTCGCTTTTGTCTTAATTTAATTGTTCCAATATATTTTGTAATAATAGTCGAAAATATGTTCCAGTTACGGTTAATTTCGTAGATAGTGTTATTGTCCAAAATATTTTCCGTCTTAATTTAATTGTTCCGTTTTTTGCCCGGAATCGCCCCGAAACGACCCGTTGACGAACCGGACCGGCCCGTTGACCGATGAACTGGTCCTGGAATCGTGAACCGGCTCGTGTACCTCGGGACGGGCCCGGTTCTAGAAATAGGTGAACCATGAACCGCCGGGCCGGGCCAGCAGTTAACCCGTATTTAATTAAAAAAAATTAAAAAAAAACTGAAAAAGACGAAATCAACTGAACCAGCCCCGTGAACCGGCCCAGTGAACCGTCGCGGTGAACCGGCTGTCATTTGCTCTTTTTTTAATCCCCTCCCCATTTTTTTCCTATAAATACCCTCACACCCCATTTTTCCTAAAAAAATAAGTTCAAGTCCTTTTATTTATTTCCTTTTGTTTTTTTTCTATTTAAAATGAATTCTTTTAATTTATTTATTCATAAAGTATTTATTTCCAATTCTGGAAAAAATAAACCCCGAATCGGAGTGAACTGGCCCGGAACCGACTAGAACCGGCCATGGCCAAGTCTAGTTGAACTGGTAAAATGTCATCTTCACATTTATCAAAGGTGTTGTTATTCCTTCCTATTCTTTTTAATTTTTAATTTTTCTGTATATATAAACTAATTAAATTTGACATTCAAAATTTGTTGTATTTAAGTTGTTGGGAACTTTTATTCAAAGGTGTTGTTATTCCTTCCTATTTCAATTGTTTTCTAAATTTTAAAAGATGTTGGTATATCCATATTTCAAAAAATCAAAAAAAAAATATTTTGTTAATTGCAACATTAATTTATTTACCATTCCTTTAACATTTTCTCCAATTTTATCTTTTAATATAATCTAAATTATTCCAAAACTCTTAATGCTTTATATATATATATATATATATATATATATATATATATATATATATATATATATATATATATATGTATTATTTCAATTATTTTTTAATTTCCGACTATGTGTATTTTTTTATAATTCAAATATTCAAAATCCTCTAATAAATACACATTATGCTACTTGTAAGTTGTAACATTAATTTATTTACCACTGCTTTAATATTTTCACGAATTTTATGTCTAAATATTTTCTAAATCACCCCAAAATTTATAGAATAATCTTTTTAAATTTGAAAATATTACATATTTTTATTATTTAATGTCTATAATCCTTAAAAAAAATCGGGGGTGCTGTCCCCAAACCCCCGTAAACTTTTACTCAATCATTGAATTTTTTTATATTTAGTTCCGAACACCCTTGACAAAAATCCTGGATTCGCCACTGGTTGTGGATTGAAGTTGTTTTGTATTAGTTTGTTATACATAATTAGTGATTTTGTATTTTATTCTGGAAAAAGTAAGCCAAAAACATACGAAATTGTAGTTGATTTTGAAAATATTATAGTTGATTTCGTAAATTTTATAGTTGTTTTCCAAAAATTTATAGTTGATTTGAAAATCAAAAACTAAAATTCAAACAAGAAATTCTTAAAAAAACGTTCATTAATAATATATATATATATATATATATATATATATATATTTAATTTTTTAAATTTTTAATTTTTTAATTTTTTTTTTAGTTTTTCAATTTTTTTAAATAAAAGTATTATAGTTATAGAAAAAATTAAAAATGAAAAAGTTATTAAACTAGTGGATAATTAATAGTAGAAAGGGGCAAATTTGAAATAAAGAAAAAGTTGGACCTATCACTAATAATGGAAAAGAGGTTGGATCCACCCCTTATTAAAAAAAGGCTAGAGGGAATTATCACTAACAGCCCCTTAATAAACCACACTAATTAATAAACTAATTTGTTACATTCACTTTTTGGTTTTCTTCTCTTAAACTTCTGTTATTGACAATGAGTAGGGTATAAATAAAACTAGGACAGTCAGAATTGAAATTTGCACATTCTGAAAATTTTCAATTTCGTATACTTAGCCTTAAATCTCCTTTTTTTTACTCGTATACTGATTTAGTGCTTTGAAATAGGAATTATATGTAAGTGTATATGATATTGAATCTGTAAAGTATCTTCAGTGAACGGATTGTACAGGTCGTACTGCCATTGGTTGAACTTGCACAAAAATAAGTTGTTCAACGTACACACATGTGAGCCTTCTTAAGGAGTTTCAACACATAATAAGGAGTTACAGGATTCTCTACCCAAATGAAGAACAAGTTCCGATATCTTTCATCTTCAAACATAAGAGAGTTTTGTAGAAAAGTACATGTATTAGATTTGTTGGATATTTACAAAGGAAGTCTCTACACCTATTTATATTAGCTCACCTTCTTAATGGACGATGGAGATCTATTTGATCTAATGGTCAGAAGTTGTTCAACACATCAAAGTATTCCTACAAAATATCTACAAATTGAGGGTTTTAGAAAGTTTTCTAGAATCCTCCAAGAATACTGGCTAAGTTTTAGATTTTAAGTTCGCAACCCAAAATATCTACAAATGGAGGGTTCCTCTAAAAATATTGGCTAAGTTTTAAACATTTAAATTCGCAATCCAAGGGAAACTATCAAAGGGTTTTAGAAAGTTTTTTAGAATCTTATAAAAATATTGGCTAAGTTTTAGTCTTTTAAATTCGCAATCCAAGCCAAGGGAAACTATCAAATGGGCCAAAACTGACATTACTTTCTATTGGATGTCAGGTGAAAAAAAAGTTATTGTTCTTCAGTAGCCGTATCGCTGTCTAACAAATTATTTCCTATGAAAACGCATCCAATCATGAAAATGAAACCAACATCGGTGCCTTGCAATCAATATAGCAAAAATAGCAAAAATGAATAAGTCATATAAAATCTTGCTATATAATATTTAAATAATTGTATAAGTCAATATAAAATCTTGCTATATAATATTTAAATAATTATATATACACTTACAAGAGAGTAGAGATACTTAGGATTGTTCATGGATCGGGTCGGTTGAATATCGGCCGATTATTGGTCCGACCCGACCAACCGACTATTGCAAAAATGTAAAACCATTATCGGCCCTACTATTATGGGTCGGGTAACAGTTGGCAACCGACTTTGTCGGTTGCCGAAATAGTTCGGTTCCAAATTATCGGCCACAGTAAATTTAAAAAAAAAAAAGAAAAAAAAAAAGAAAAATCAATTTTTTTTGCTTAGCATGATTAAAATTCATCCCCTAACAATTATAAAACTACATCACAAAATCAAGTTTCAACATGTATCTCAAATTACACACTTCAAATTCAAAAAACAATACAAAATAAAAAATAAAAAAAATAAAAAAATAAAAAACCAGCAATAAAAATAAAAAGTCGGTTGGTCGGGTAATATCGGCCAACCGACTTTTCATCATATTAAAAACTATACCCGACCCAACTAAACTTGGGTCGGTTAAAATTATCGGCCCGACCAGAGCGGGTCGGTTGGTGAGCAATTATCGGCCACAAAAGTCGGGCCGATAGTGGGTCGGTTGTCGGGTAAAACCGACCCATGAACAACCCTAGAGATACTCATGGGGATGAACAGGCCGAAATCCATCATCTCTACCTTTCAAATCCGACTGCCGGATGATAATATGAATATGCACAGAATATTTTCTTTCTTTTGAATAATTTTTCAATATCCATAATTATTTTTTTCATGTTTAGAAAGCTATGTATTCTCTTTATTCTACTCAAATTGCAGACATGGTTAGATTGAAGTTTGGCAATTAGCATGTTTACAGCCACCTTTAAACCACATATACACTTGCATAGAAATCCACTAAGATCATGAGGTTGCTGGTAATTTGCTACGGCTCATAGTAATTCCTCTATTTCAATGAATGAACATTAATTCCTATTTCAAAATACTAATTCAGTATTCTTCATCTCTGTTGAACCCAAATACAACTTCATCCAGATATGGTATTAATTAGAAATAATTTTACCAACCCTCATTAGTAGAGTTGGTACCTAGCCTTTACCAATAGGGTAACGGTCTAGGGTTCGAGTCCCCCCACCCCTATTTCCCCTTGTAATGGACTTGAATTTACTCAAAAAAAAAATTAGAAATAATTTCAAAATGAAATTTCAAGTTCAGACAGTATTTATCCGAATGTATTAATTATCAAAAGCAACATAAGTCCGAGGAATAACAAGAAGAAAAAATTACCCGAGGGGAACAAGTTTCGTGACTCCGCCGTCGCTAGTCGAGGTTGGAAAAAATTACCCGAGGGGAACAAGTTTCGTGACTCCGCCGTCGCTAGTCGAGGTTGGACTAAGACCCAGTGGAAGGCCGACGCCGTTCGTCGCGGCTGGACTAAGGCCAATTCCGCCGAGGGGAAGGCGGGCGCCTCCGAAAATGAAATTTGCGAATCCCATTCCGCCGTCGTTCGTCACGGCTAGACTAAGATCGATGCTCCCAGTGGAAATCCGACGTCGTTCGTCGCGGCTGGACTAAGGCTAGTGCCGCTGAGGGGAAGGCCGACGCCTTCGGAAACAAAATTTGTCACTCGACAAGGACAAACACCGCTGCAATCAGAGTATTTGGTACGCCGTCGTTCGCCATGCCAAAGAGGACGGAAGGGACAAGGACAAACACCGCTGCTGCAATGAGAGTCGAAACTAATTTGGTACAAATATCCCAAATCTGCAAATATAAGTAGTGTTGTAATTAAAATGAATTACAGTATTAAAATGAATTATAGCATATTAATTTTAATAGTTTATAACTTATTTTGATATTTATCTAAATTCGTTGTTCCAATAATAGGTATCAAATAGTTGTTAATTAAAAATAATTAAAGTACTTTATATATTTAATTACCGCATATTATTTTTTAGATAAACATTTAGGCGATTAAATTTATAACTTACATGGGCCGGTTTTATTGGTTAACCAACCCACTTTTGACTCACTTTTCTTAATTGATAACATATAATTAACCGGCCAATACAGTTGTGCCGGTAATTTTATCCAACCCATATACAAATCGGTTGGTCAATGGTCTTTAGTTTACTCCAAAGTCAATTGATGGGTTTATATCGATGCCGGTAATTTTATCCAACCCATATACAAATCGGTTGGTCAATGGTCTTTAGTTTACTCCAAAGTCAATTGATGGGTTTATATCGATCAACCGACTTTTTTAATAATAAAAATTTTAACCGAACCATACAATTTCTATTTTAAAACTACATGGCACTCCCACAACACATATTATACAAATACATATATATATTGTATGAATAGAGAGAGAGAAACGATAGATTATATATAAATATAACCATAAACAGCAATCATACATTGAATTTTGTAGTAGGTTCATACAAAGCCGCATCCAACAAAGCTCTAACCAATTGCTGGATTTTTCAGTCTACCATTTTTCTCACCTACATTTTAGATAAACTAAATTCAACAAAAACCCTATTATTCGCGAATGACGACTCCTCAGCACAACGTCGTCAAATCTCGATTTCCTTAGTAACCATATCCTGGAACCAAAAAAACAAAAACGGTTCACCTCTTTGTATAAATGGCATAATGGTAAATACGAAACGATGTACTTCACGCAATACCTGAATTGTCCATAGGGGTTCCCGTTACAGCCGGTTCAGGCTCCTTGATCTCAACAACCACACAGTCGGACATCAAAAATGTCTTTGCCACCGACGATGCATGCTCTAAGCAACATCTCACCACCTAAATAATTAAACAAACGTTTTTTCAAGAAAATTCGCTTATGTGGATTTCGAATTTAAATTCATAAATATAAATTACTACGCGAAAAAGCATCTAACCTTGGTGGGATCGATGATTCCAGCAGCCATGAGATCTTCGTAAACTCCAGTGGCGGCATTGTATCCGTATTTCGGATTGTCACTTGACAGCACCTGAGAATACAACGGAAATTAAATTTACTACGTGAACTGTGAATATAGTGGAACGAAAGTATGCGCGTGTGAGAATGAAGTATTCGCGTACCTTCTCACTGACAACACTTCCGTTAACACCGGCGTTCTTGGCTATCAACTTCAACGGATAACTCAAAGCTCTTTTGACAATGTCTGCTCCAACCTGAATCCAAATCATTTTCTCGATTAATTCCCTTTTAAAAATTATAAAAGAAATTATTCCTAGAAAAATTATCAAAAAACATCATCCAGCATCAATTTCGTTTCTACCTTCTCCTCGTCATTGGCAAGAGTTGCCTTGATAGCGTCAACCTTGGACGCAAGCCTCAATAAAGTACATCCACCACCAACGACAATTCCTTCCTCGACAGCTGCCTGTAAAGTGGTTTAAGAATTTAGTAATATTACAAAAACCAAATCCCACCATCAAAAAATTGAACCACTAATAAGCTCACCTTAGTGGCGTTAAGAGCATCTTCTACTCTAAGCTTCTTCTCTTTCAGCTCTGTTTCAGTTTGTGCTCCGACCTACAAATTTCCGCAGTGTTATTCAACAGGTTTCACATATATGTGAAAAGGTTTGAGAAAAAAAAAAGATAAATTTTACCTGGATCACGGCAACACCTCCAGACAGCTTAGCAATTCTTTCGCTCAGTTTCTCTTTTTCATATTCTTGGTCGGCCACCTGTTCAAAAGAATAATGCATTATTAGTGAACTTGTGGAAACAGTGAACCTAGTCCATACTCAGATATATTAGTGTTAAGTAAAAGGTAAAAGGTAAAAGAGAAACACCTCGATAAGGTTCTTAATCTGAGCGACACGTCTGTTAACAGCTTCTTGACTGCTCCCATTTCCGACAATTGTTGTGGTGTCTTTGGTCAACACAACCTTAGCAGCATGTCCCAAAACGTCCTTATCTGCCTTGTCTAATGTTAATCCAACTTCCTCTCTGATCACAGTTCCTATATAAGTAGAGAAAAAAAGTATGAGTAAGTACAAACACTTGAATACGGACAGTGAGCAAAAGAAGGATAACCGAACAATTACCTCCGGTCAAAATTGCAATATCATCAAGATATTGACTCTTTCTTTCACCAAATCCAGGAGCTTTGAGAGCAGCAACTTTCAGTGCCCCTCTTAGCTTGTTCACGACAAGGGTGCCGAGAGCTTCCTGCTCGATATCTTCAGCAATAATAAGAACGGGATAGCTACCTCTAATAGCATCTTCCAAGACATTAATCAGATCTCTGGCGTTTGTAATTTTCTTGTCAACAAGCAACAGCTGCACACAAAAAAAAAATTATTAGATTGAAACATTTTTCTAAGGTCTTATTTTTGCTTGGGGTGAATAGATGCATACCTTGCAGTTCTCGAACTCAACAGTCATTTTCTCAGTGTCGGTAACGAAATAGGGAGAAATATAGCCACGGTCAAACTGCATTCCTTCAACAACATAAAGGCTGTTTTCGGCGCTTTTCCCTTCTTCAAGAGTCACAACACCTTTCCTACCAACTTTGGCCAACGCCTCGGCTATCATTCTTCCGACCTCATAGTTGTTCCCTGCACTTACTGCAGCAACATCTGCTAGTTCACTATCTTCAACCTGCCATTTTACACATATGTTAGTAAATCATAACATTCAAAATAAAGTCGAACTTGTCAAAACAAAGATTGATATGGATACCTCTTTTGACATTAACTTTAATTCAGCTACCAAGGCTTTTGTAGTCTTTTCGATTCCCCTAGTGATAAGAACTGGATTTGCTCCAGCTGCTACTACCTGGAAAACATAGTTTTGTAAAGATTAAATTCAACAAATCTGACTTTAAACAGTGCAGGTATAAGCTAAAAAGAGACGAGGCATGTACCTTAACACCTTCAGCAATAAGACCCTGTGCAAGAACTACAGATGTTGTTGTCCCATCACCAGCCAAGTCATTAGTCTTTGCAGCTGCTTGTCTCACCAATTTAGCTCCAATGTTCTCAACTGGATCTTCCAACTCAACCTACATCAAAATCAGTAAGATCATAAATTCATCGGAAAAGGGTAGCTCATATAGCATGCGACTTCATAATCCGGGATCAAATAACTTCATCAACTTAATCCCAAACCATCCCATGTTGTGCTGAGGTGGAACGGTAAGAAGTTGTGTGTAAAAACATAGAATACCCTTGCTGAATGGAAAAACCCCAAGAAACGGCATTTTTTACACTTCATGAATTAATTTTCAACTAATATGATTGAATTAAAAATTATTAACTCATTAAACACAAATTATAAATCAAGAAAATGGTAAATCACTTAAGTCAGTTAGTAAAGTTTATAGTGAACCTCTGTTTTGATAGATAGATTCAATAGAAGATGTAAAACCATATCATCTTTAAAACCAAAAGGAACTAGTCAACATATTCAAAACCGGGGCGACTTGAGACTAGATATCACTAATAAAACATTAAGGTCGGAAGTTTAATTTCTTTCATATATAACTCATTTGGCAATAATCAAGACAGTTGTTGCCTGTCCACTAAGAACATATACGATGATAACTGAAGGTTCTCAGTCAAGTTACCTCTCTGGCCACTGTAACTCCATCATTGACAATTTTGGGGGCACCGTATTTGCTCTCAAGAACCACATTTCTTCCTTTAGGTCCAAGGGTAACACCAACTAGATCTGCGAGTTTGTTAACACCAATCTGACAAAAAGAAAACAACCCATTAATAACAAAAACGACCACAGATAAAGATATCTATCACCTGCCGTTAAAATCAAAAAGTTCCAATTACTCACTTGGAGTTTCTTTATAGCAGAGCCATCCTTGTTGAAGTACAAGTCCTTTGCAGCTGCTGTTATTTGAGAAGAACGTTGTTTACGGAGTACAACGCTATTCCTCCTCCCAAGTGAACTAGAAGATATGGAAGCGAGCGACGACAGCTTGTTCGAAGCTGCAATTTTATTATCCATTACCCTGCTGCCAGTGGCAGCCAACGAACCAACTGTGGACACGCCAGCAAATGTAGACGCCATTTTCTCGGTGAACCTGATATCATCAACAAATTATAATAATTAACAAGCTTACATTTCATAATGCTGGAATTCATCTATCGAAAAAATGCAAACAAGAAGAAACAATTCTGACCAACGAAAAGTAACATTTCGTAAACAAATTCCATTTTATCCTCCAACTAAAAAGAAATATGCTGCTTTTAGCTAGCAATGCAGCACCATTATTGAAGAACATAATGCCTTACTTTCTCTCTCTAACTAGAATACCACAAAACCAAAATTCTTCGACCCATTCAGATATTGAAGACCCACAATACAAACACAACTCATTTCATATAAAAAATTCAGCTTTACTCAAACACTTCATCTAGAAAACTCAAAATTCATAACTGGATAAGCTGAATTTCATCGAGTAAACAAAACCAGCAGTTCAAATGTACAAATAAAACCATCGATAATCAACACTACACAGAAAAAAACATTTCAAAATACCCAATTCGAAACAATTAATCGACAAACACTGCATAATTGAAGAACAATCTAAGAATTCAATAAGCAGCTCACCGGAATAAGATTGGAGATTGAAGAATGAGGGCGTAGGAGAGTTGGGAGGATGAGGGTTTATCTATAAAAAGGAGGCTGGTTGTTGAATGAAGCGGATGGATAGATTGGTTAGGTTTTTAGTAGGGGATTGAATGAGTGAGTGAGTGTGTGTACTGTGTGAAGAATCTAGGGCTCAGATTCGTTCGTGAAGTTTCAGATTGATCTCAGCCGTTGAATCTCTGTTTTGTCGTGGAGAGGAACACTCTAGAACGTTTAGCACAATATCTTTATTAATCTTGTAGAAATTTCTCCATGAGTGTAATTTCGGTAGAGTGTAGAAGTGAAAGAAATAATATTATAATAATATATTTAGATTATATTTAAATTATGAATTTGAATTATTCTTTACTATGAATAAATGAATATATTATAAGGCTACTTTTGTAATTGGACCTAAGTATTATTGTTTATGTCACGGCTTAATTCCACCTCGCACCCTTGAAATATCGCATTTTGGCATTTTGCACTCCTGAGAAAAATTAATAGCAGTTTGCACCCTCGAAACATAATAAATTATGCGTAATGCATCTCGGATAATTTTTTTAATATATGTCCTTATTTTTTTTAGACTGTCAAATATCAAATCATTTTTTTCCAAACTACAAAGTGAAAAAATAAAAATACATCACATCGAAATATTTGAAAATTATATTTTCTTTATATTAAAAAAAATTAAAAAAAATAACTTTCAGCTATTTCCTTTACTAAGTTATTTGAAAATTATATTTTCTTCCAAATATTTTCACCAATTACAACTAAATATCGATCAATCGATAATCTAGTGATAAAATTCTATTTTATTTTATTTTGTAAGCAAAATTAGTTTCTTCGTCAATTTGGTGTGACTTCTATTTTTTCTGCACTTTGTACACTCGAAATTAGATTGGATATGAAAGAAAATAACTATTTAATTTGATACTATCCACCATGGGAATAAATAACAATAAAAAAAAATAGTTGCTCTTATTGAGTTTTAAATATTCAATTCATGATACATCATGGATGAATTATTATCGTGTTTTGAAAATGCAAAGTGCTATATAATTTTTTTCAAGGATGTAAAGTGCCAAAATACTCTATTTCAAGACTGCAAATTGGAATTAAGACAACACGTTACACTTAATTTTGAATATACAAGTTTTGTGACAATTTAAAATTTCAATTAATAAATACTACTTGCATTATTAAAAAAAAGTTGACCAACATTGACCAGTTCAGTAACTTCAATGAATTTCTTCATTTTTGCACCCAATGGGCCGAACAAACCTATTGGCCAATCCAGTTCAATTTTTCAAAAATATGTGTTTATAATTATATTCCAAATATATTCCATTTTAACATTAAATAAAGTACACAAATTCTCTAAATTACAAAAATCTCCTTGATTTGAAGTATCAAAGTCAAACCTCGAGGGTAATTTTGTAAAACCCTCACAATTATTTACAATTATCCCCTTTGATTATACGACTATACTTCCCACACATACAAATAGGTCGCGTCTCGACCCGTCTCGTCCCTAGAGCAAGACGAGCACAACATCCAACATAAAATTTGCAGACTATTGCACGAGAATGAATAATTTTCCGTTTCTTTTACTATAAAAAATCATCAACAAGAATTCTCATTACAACTTGTCATCACTTGTAAGAAGATCATCACTACCAAATTGAAGTGGCTCCAAAGAATCAACTATATCTCTCATTAGAGGCCTTGCTTTCGAATTCTTGTTAAGACAATGATAAGCCAACATAGCTGCTTTATTAACCCCCTTAATTGGATAATCGCCCCCTAATCTTGGATCGACAATGTTAATCACTTTCTTCTTTTCTCTAAGCAACGGGAGCGCCCAATCCGTGAGATTGTGTTGGCCCGGTGGCCTCGATCTATCCAACGATTTCCGGCCCGTAATCAGCTCGAGAAGTACCACTCCGAAGCTATATACGTCGCTTCTAGAAGTTAAGTGCCCTATCAAATCGAAACAAAAGCCCGTTTAACGAAAACCATGTGCACAGTTTTTTTAAGGGTAGAATTGTAATTTTGTCATGTATGTTTTGGCCGATTTTGTGATTTTACTCCCACGGATTGTCCTGTTTCGATTTAATTTTTTACTTAAGACCCGTTTATTAATGATGTTACTAACGAACTCGACGAAATTTACTTATATGGACACTTCAATATTGTAAATGCTCTTCTTACATGATTTATAGATGACCAAAATTACAATTTTGCCCTTAATGAAAAAAACTAGTCGGAGATTGTATATGTCGAAATACCTGTCATTATGTATTCTGGTGCTGCATAGCCATATGTTCCCATTATACGCGTAGATACATGGGACTCGTCTCCTTCGGGCCCGTCTTTAGCTAGTCCGAAATCCGCGAGTTTTGCATTATATTCCTGTTTAAGAGTGTACATATATATAATATATGTTAGATACGTGCACGTATAGACTATAAAATCTTTTCGGTAGAGCCGAGAAAATAATTCGGAGTTTTTGAGAGACGAAACTTGGTCTAATAATATGTTTGACGTCTTAAAATCGCGATAGATGACCGGTTTATCTGCTTCGTGTAGAAAAGCGAGTCCCTTTGCTGCGCCGAACGCAATCTTCATTCTAGTTGACCATGGAAGCGGAAGCAGCACCCCTGCAATATTTCGATTTTTAATTTTTCAACTGTTTATTACAATTAAATTTTAATACGTTGTAACGAATCTCCACTTACTCGAAAAAAGATTGTTTTCGACACTACCACGACACATGTACTCGTATATCAAGACTCGATGCTCGTTTTCACAACAATACCCAATCAACTTCACTAGATTTGGATGAGAGAGCTGCCCCAAAAACATTACCTCGGCCTAATTAAAAAAAAAAAAATCAAACATAAATATATAGTCAGCTGCAAAATTAACAATTTCAATAATTAATTCGACATAAGTAAATAATTTAATTATATATACCATCCATTCTCGATGACCTTGATTACTGTTGACTCCGTCGTGAACTTTAACAGCAACGGGTATCGGTTTAAGTACTTCTTCTTGTTTTACGTCTTCGGTAATATTAATGTAACCTTTGTATACATTTCCGAACCCACCTCCGCCCAAGACGTAATCTTGTCTGAAATTCTCGGTGATGGTTCTCAGTTCGTCGAACGTAAAAACGGTTAGTTGATTGGCTGCCATACACCCACGAAGATCTTCCACTTCTTCGGGATTCGACGGTAGTTTGTAGTCGTCTTTTTTCGCTTTTCGCGATGGTTTTTTTTCCTTTTCGAGTTCTGTAAAACGAAACGAAACATTTTTTTAAAGACAGACCTGCATCAAGATTCACAACTTTCGGAGTTCTCCTTTTAAAAGGTGCTCAATAAATTCGATTAAAAGCGTATAGTAACAACGAAAAAAATTCGAAAACTAAAAAAACAGAGAATTAAAAGAAGATTCTCCGACAAGAAAGATTAACCCCTTTTGTGTTTCTTGAAAAAAAATATGATCTTTTAACATAGTAAGTAAATATTCATTAAAAAAAGAAAAACAGGTTTCATATGACTGTAACACCAATCAAGATTAACCCCTTTGGTGTTTCTTGAAAAAAAAAAACAGGTTACATATGACTGTAACACCAATCAAGATTAACCCCTTTGGTGTTTCTTGAAAAAAATATGATCTTTTCACATAGTAATTAAATTTTCATTAAAAAAACAAAAAAACAGGTTAATATGACTGTAACACCAATCAAGATCACACACTTGTCCAAGAAAAAAAACAGAGGAAGAAGAAAAATCACCTGATTTTGCATTATAAGGTACTCTGTATATTGAGGGTTTCCCCCCACAGCAGCAGCAGCAATTTCCCATTATACACCAACCAAACAAGGCACAACCAAAACCCAAAAAAACCCAACTTTTTTCTCAAGAAACAACAACTGCCCACAAAACCATTAATCCAAAAAAACCCAAAAAAAAAAAAAGAAAAAAAGAGAATAGAATGTGAAAAGGGTTTTCAAGAAAAGAAGAAGTGAGAATGGTGGTTGACTGTAAATTGTAATGATTGTTGAAGGTGGGGTTTTTGTTTTCCTTTTTTTTTTCTCTGTTGGTTGAGTTAGTGCGCCTCCCATTTCAAATACCCACCACTCCTTTCTCTCTCTCTCTCTCTCTCTCTCTCTCTCTCTCTCTCTCTTCCATTTCCTTTTTTTGTTGCTTTGTGTCTCTCTCTACCCTTTTTGGATTGGCGTGCGCATGGATGAAAATGTATGCACTCATTTTTTTCCATAATAAAAATTGAAACTTTATTCATAAAATTGTTTGGTTTAACATATGCAACCAACCACCTTTACCTACTTACATGAACTAAATTTGTGCTAAAAAAAATCATCCATATTTAGAAATTCCACTACTGTATGACTGTATCTCAACTTTTACTTTTTTTTTTTTTTTTGTCCTGGTGATTCTGATTATGTATGCAATATGAATGAAATTAAATCTTCGTAAAGTTTCCGTTTTTTTTTTCTTTCGATGAAATAGTTTCGACTGAGATGTTAAGAAAGAAAGCAATAGGATATGAAAAATGAAAAATCTGACCTTGGTTTATGGAAGATGTTTTGAACCATTGATCCAATGTAATGAGCACCTGCACCACACTGCAATAAGACAGTTAATTTTGTCTATCTATGTACAATAAGACGCTCGTTTTTCTCTTTCTCGGTTAACCGAAAACCACGCTCTTACAATCCATCGATTTACCAAGATATGTAGTATGTGTATCATCAGTTAACTTGTGTTCTTAACAAGAAAATATATCATCGTTAAAAATTATTAAACTCGACTAATGCAAACACATCAATAGTTTGGAATTCATTGTTCGAATTATATATACATATCTCTGACTTTTTCTTCTGTTTCCATATTAACTAAAGCCCATGCAGCAACTTTTCCGATCGGATTTTCATCCATAATTACGAATATGGATAACCGAAGTCCTGTCTAACTGTAGAAGTACTAACTATATACGACTTATCTGTCAGAATATCGAGAAAAACGACTACTGCCTACCATCTGCGTAATCTTATACTAATTAGGATTACTAAAACTAAAACAAATATTCTAAGTAAGAATTATTGCTCAACAAAAACTTAACTTACTGCAGAACCCCTCAATTATGCATTCAATGAAATCGGGATGTAATTAAATGCAATCATACACATTCACGAACAAGCATTGACGACGATACTCACAAAGCACGTCTTCATTGTTTACTTGCAAACTTAGTAACGTGAATATTCCATCTAATCGGAAGGTGAAAAAAAAAATTAGCGTGGCGTAAAAGACTAGTAGTGGATGAATGAGACCCTTAATCATAATCCTAAAACCGCGCTCGATTCGCGCAACTTTGTTGGTAATAAAAGAAAACCTAGCTAACTATATAGGCTATGATTTTTTTTCATTACACACAAAAAAAATATATATATAGGAAGGTTCTTGAATTCTTACACACCTAGGATTCTTGCAATCTTACGACATCATATAAAACATTTAAATATAAAACTATATAGAGCAACGGAAAGTTTGTTAGATCGATCATAATAAACGGCAAGCAAGCTCGCTTGAGCTTACATATAGCCTCATGCAGTAGACACTCATACTCTGGTTAGTAGACGTATTCGTGCAGCCCAATACTCGACAACTAATTCTCATGAGTGCAGTCTATATATATATATATATATATATATATATATATATATATATATATATATATATATATATATATACCTATTGCATATTATTAACCAGTAAAAAAAATAAAAGTATAAATCTACATTGAAATGCATTCGAAAATCGAGTACTGACGTGTGTCAAAAAATATTAAAAGGGTTTTCTGCTACATTCTTGTAACAACTACCAGTCACCTATTATCGCTAATTATTCGGAAAACGATGCAAGATTCAAGTAATCTTGATTTAATATAACTAATAATTAATTATTCGAAAATTTGTGCTGATTCGAGTAATCATCTTCGTTTAATAATCAGACCTCATCCAGCAAAAAGATATGGCTATAGAAAGTTTGTCTGGCATTCTTATTCCCTTGATCAATGATGAAGTCACATGAACTCCTCTTTATAATATATATATATATATATATATATATATATATATATATATATATATATATATATATATATATTATATTGATGGGTAGAGCTTCATAAAGGTTGTTTCTTGCCTTATACAAGAGTCCGTATACTGGTATAATATACGAGATCAAATACGCAGAAAAAATGAGAGATGTATATCAATTATTTGCTGCCTATTTATAAGTTGCGATCTTTCAATGATTTTATTTTCGTATCAAATAGAGGAAAATGGGTAAAGCTTGCCGGTGTTTTTGGGGCTTGTCTCTCTCACTTTCACTTTGTTTCATACACTCGATATCCACTTCTCATGTAATCTTTCGATCTCTTTTTTGTCTCCTCGACTAATTATTACGATAAATCTCTTCTCATTTTATTGTCTTTCTTTCTTTTTATTTCATGCTTATCGATTGCAGGTTTACATCGTCTACCTTGGCCACGTTATCCGTAACCAAGATCACTATCTTACGTCCAAGAATCACGTTCGTCTCCTTAGTAACGTATTTCAGAGGTCTCGATTTTTTTATTCTTTTTTCTGCCCGAAAAAATGCATGCATATATAAATATAAATATATTGACAATTTATTTAATTGTTTTTAGCAACGAAGAAGCGAACGAAGCGATGGTGTATAGCTACAAGCATGTTTTCTCGGGCTTTGCTGCCACTCTTAATGAAAGCCAAGCATCCATCTTAGCAAGTAATTCAATCTACATATATATCTTTTTTAATTTTTTTTCTTCGAGAAATTTATATAAATGGAAACGGCTAATTATATATACAGATACGAGGGGCGTTATATCGGTTTTCGAGAGCAAGTTACTACGTTTGCACACGACAAGAAGCTGGGATTTTATGGGACTTAACCTAGACTACAGTGAAGGAACTCCATTGCAGTTAACTCATGGCGAAGACGTAATTATCGGAGTTCTTGACACAGGTTTATGTTCGTTCGATATATTTTACGCACAAATTAAATTACAATATTAAATTAAAAACTCTTAATCTAAGTACAGTTCTCATGCAGTAATATCTAGCAAGTCGAAAAAACGAAACATCTCGATAAACACACACACATAGAAGGCCTATGCATTTATCTACATTTGCCATTAGTCTAAATAAATTAGTAATTCAGTGTACAATAGTACCTCGATAAATTAATAACCTCGCCTAAATAATATTTTCTTCCAGCACCCCAATTCGGTAAAACCGTATTAAATTATCAGTTCCATAATTTAATATTTCGATAAATTAATAGAATTTCATTAGTCCCAGTTGTACTAATTTAAAGAGGTTTAACCGTACGTACATGCAAAAATAGAATATTCCATCATGCAAGTACAATCCTACTATAAATTAATCACCTCGAGTAAATAATAGTTTCTCTCGATCCCAACTCGGTGAAAACGTGTTAAATTATTAACTCGATAATTTAATAAATCGTTAAATTAATAGAATTTCCCTAGTCATGATTGTATTATTTTATAGAGGTTTAACTGTATTTTGAATTTCATTTTTTTCACAAATTTGTGTGTGTATATATATATATATATATATATATATGAAAGAAAAAACAAATTAAATTGGGAATGAATAGGGATTTGGCCGGAATCTGCTAGTTTCAGAGAAGAACCTGAAATGGGGCCGATACCAAAGTATTGGAAAGGGGAATGCGTCGCCGGCGACAACTTCAACCCTAAAAAAGCCTGCAACAAGAAACTCATCGGAGCTAAATATTACCTCACCGGATTCCAGAGAAGATTCGGTAGAATCAACAAGACGACAAACCCTGAATACATCTCGCCTCGAGATTATCTCGGCCACGGGACCCACACAGCTTCCACGGCCGCCGGAGCTAGATCCAGAGGCGCCGGAATATTCGGGTTCGCCAACGGCACCGCCCGCGGCGGAGCGCCGCGGGCCAGGGTGGCGGTGTACAAGGTGTGCTGGAACAGGGACTTCGCCGGGACGTGCACGGAGGAGGACGTCCTGGCGGGGTTCGACGAGGCGCTGCGCGACGGCGTCGGCGTTGTGTCGGCGTCGTTCGGGAAGGCGCCGCCGCTGAGGGAATTTTTCGGGTCGAGCGCCGATATCGGGTCGTTCCACGCCATGCAGATGGGGGTGAGCGTGGTGTTCTCGGCGGGGAACGGTGGGCCCCAGCCGGGGCTGGTGGGGAACGTCAATCCGTGGAGTATTTGTGTGGCAGCTTCCGATATCGATCGGAGTTTTCCGACCAAGATTTTGTTGGACGACGGTAGCTTCTTCGTTGTAAGTTTTTAAACATAGTCTATATATATATAAAAAAAAATGTGATAAATGTGGTTTCAGTTTTCATAATGTCGTTTTGACTTTAAACGTGATTTTGACCATTTTTTGAGTTTGAATTTGGCAAAATTAAGAACATGGAATTTGTAATTATTTGTGTTAACTTTCTAATTAGTTTTGACTTTAAACGTGATTTTGATCATTTTTGAGTTTGAATTTGGCAAAATTCAGAATATGGAATTTGTAATTCTTTGAGTTAGCTTTCTAATCTAATTTGAATCGCCAATATTGGATGTCGGTTGAGAAAGTTATGCATGAATCAGTGAATATTGCCCACAACTTTGATGTTTTAAATTATGTAGAATTTAAAATGTAACTCGTTCATGCATAACTTTGTCACTCGACATCCAATCCAGCTGATTCATGTTGGATTGGAAAGCTATCTCAAAGGCCTACGATTTCCGTCTTTTGAATTTTGCCAAATTCGAAGTAGAAAATAGTCAAAATCACTTTCGAAGTCAAAACAATATTAGTAAAATTAAAACGACATTTAACATTTCAGAAGAAAAAAAAACCGCTCTTTTTTCGATGAAGTTTGTAAGTTTCTTACATACACCCCTACAAAAGGGTATTAATATAGGAAATTTACAAATTGCAAGGCTAGATATAATTATGGAAACATAGGGTTTTTTTCGTAAATAAACTTTACGTCAGGAGGTGATTGTAATTTACCCTTATTATTAACTCACATTTGGGCATGTATAATATATATGTGCAGGGACAAGGTTTGATAACGAACCATATAAGTGGAACTTTGGCAAGAGCTAGAACTTACTTTTTCGGCGGGTCCGTAATTCTCGTCTCTCCTCGTAAAACCGTCATTTAAATGGCCTATAGTTGGTTGATTAATTGCAATTAAAGGAAATTTACGTACGAATTTGATATACAGGATTTGCAATTCGGAGAATTGGATGAATAAATCGGCTGCCGGTAAGATATTGATATGTTTCTCGACCGACGGAGATGTTAGCAGCGAGGATGCAGAGTTTGCAGCCGCACGTAGAGCCAATGCATCAGCACTCGTATTCGTGCAGCCACTAACTATGCCCGTTGCTGCGGTTAGCATAATCCCGGTCGTTCGTATCGACATCGTCCAAGGCTCTAAATTGTATCTATTGCCCAAGTGAGTGTCAGTACATACACAGTAGAACCTCGATAAATTAATAACCTCGATTAAATAATAGTTTATTTCAGTCCCGACTCGGTAAAAACGTGTTAAATTGTTAACTCGATAATTTAATAATTCACTAGATTAATAGAATTTCCCTAGTCCCGACTGTATTAATTTATAGAGGTTTAACGTACTGTATATATATAGTTAGAATAAATATAGAATTGTCGAATGCAATAAACCGATTCTTTATTTTATTTTATTTTTCGAAGCTTCACGAAGGCGCAAATATTGCCAAGTGAAACGACCTTCAAAAGGTCACCGACGCCGGTGGTCGCAGATTTTTCTTCAAGAGGGCCGAGTTCAATTTCACCCGATTTTCTCAAGGTACATACGAATTACGATAGATACATAACGATATACATATATATTTGCATCAACGTAATATGTTTTATTTTTAATTTTTTTTAGCCCGACATCAGTGCGCCGGGAGTCAACATATTGGCAGCATGGTCTCCGAATGTTGCTCCATCGGTTTTTTCGAGCGATCACCGCTCCGTCGATTGGAATTTCGAGACGGGAACATCCATGTCTTGCCCTCATGTCTCGGGTGTCGTTGCCCTCCTCAAATCCGCGCATCCACGTTGGTCCCCTGCCGCAATCCGATCGGCCCTTATGACTACCGGTAACCACTTTTTTTTTTTTTCTTTTCTTCGCAGTTATTTTTATTACACGTAAAAAATAAGTATGTACAGTAGAATCTCGATAAATTAATAACTTCGATTAAATAATAGTTTCTCTCGGTCCCGACACGGTGAAAAGGCGTTAAATTATTAACTCGATAATTTAATAATTCGCTAAATTAATAGAATTTCCCTAGTCCCAACGGTACTAATTTATAGATATTTAATTGCATATATAATACGAAAACCCGAATATATATTCAAGTATGTGTATATATAAAAAACAAAATTTAGATATATGATAGATTGATCATAAATAGGCCAAAAAAACACAAGTAACATCACTGAATAATAAATCTTTATTTGATCATGATTACATAATTAGGACATATATTTATATGTGACAAAATTATATCAAGGAATAATACAAATTAAAAATTGGCACCATTTTTTCGACAGCTTATAACAAAGACATAAACGGTGACGGCATACTAGTACAAGGATCGACAAAATCGTCCGACCCCTTCGACATTGGGGCCGGCCACATAAACCCGCTCGGCGCCTTCGATCCGGGACTAGTTTACGACATGACCACACGAGACTACATTCTCTTCCTATGCAACCGCGGTTACTCCGAGGATCAAATACAAACCATGGTTATTTGCCCGCTAGCCACACCCGCGAGATGCCCCGACCGGCTCGAGCCGGACTCGAGCATAAACTACCCATCGATCACCGTCTCGAACCTCAAGTGCACTAAAACCGTCAAGCGGACCGTTCGAAATGTGGGCCCCGCAAAAACGGCCGTCTACTTTGTCAGTGTTGTGAGCCCTAATGGAGTCGAGGTTGCTGTTTGGCCCACGATATTGATCTTTTCGCCTCTAAAAGAAGAGTTGACTTATTATGTGACGTTTAAGCCGGTCAAGGTGGCTCGGGGTAGATATGAATTCGGTTCGATTACGTGGTCCGACGGGGTCCATCACGTTAGGAGCCCTATGGTGGTTCAAGTTAATACTAGGGGTGATGGGAATTATTATGAAGAGGGTTCTAGTACGACGCCGTATTGAATTTTCTTGATTTGTTTTGTAATATTGTACTATTGATGTTGTACTTCACTATTATTTGTAATAACTATTTACGGTCGTAACCTTGTGACTAATAAATCAGTAATTTCAGTTAAATTAACAAGATTTTACTGAAAATCTTTACATAATTGCGTGATCTTATGTATAAAAAAAATTTAAAATCCATATTGAAATATAACTTTTGTTTTTCAATTTAAATTTAAATTTAGTTGGGTCACACGTTTGATTATGTTACAATGACTTCATTTTGATTTTTGCACAAGTCATTAACTTGTTCAATAAGAATTAAATCATCCCTAGCTCATCATCACTAAAAAAATAAATTAAAAATCAATCATGATAATAATAATTGTTTAATCTTTTTTAAAGCTCAAGCTTAGTATATACTAATAATTAAAGTATTCTCTCTAGTTCATACGCTTTTCATCGAATGAAGGCTCGTTCGATTACCTACATCGGACTAGTTTGAATCGGACGAGATTGAATTAATTCTCTACTGATATATTATTTATTTAGTTAGTACAACGTTCGGTTCATTGTATTCGATCTTGTATTAAATCCGTTAAATTACGGTATTATATGTAATTTAACTATAGAAAAAAATCTTTAATAAAATTAACATGTAGTTTGAAGGACAAATTAGTCTTTTACTTATTTATCACCCACTATTAAATTAATCTCGGAGGAGCGGTGCTAATAATTTAATGGAATAATATCATTTGATAACAGACTTTGATTTTAGTAGTGAGTTTGAAAAAACTTATAGTGATAACAAACGAGCCCCTAGTGAATTAAACTAATATTAAAGTGATTAAATTGATAACATGGAATTATTATTTTTTTATTGATGAAATATATAAAATTGGGAAAGAACAAAACAAATTTCGTAGTTAAGGGATTTATTGCTCATTTTTGCATGCAAATTAAAGAATAAAGAATTTTCCATGTACATATATATATTTGTTTCCCCTTTTTTCTTCTCACCTATTAATAAATAATATAAATAAATAAATAATAAAATAGTGGAGATTTTTTGCTTAAGAGCTAAGAACACCGCAGAAAGTCCGCCAAGTAAACCCAAGTCCACTCACAAAAAAATCATCCCCGATAGGGACATTTTTGTCATTTACTATATGCTACATTAGAAAAGTCTTCCTTCACCCGCCGAAACACACAGCACAACTAAACGCGTCACAGATGACGCAATACCAGCCAATAAGGAGCCTCCACGTGGCGAACGCGCCCAATCGGGGAAGACTTTCATCAAAACAGCATCACAGGCGGGTGAAGTAATCACGGGGTAGATACGGAAATAGGAGAAAATATAGGGACTGGAAAGAAAGGAAAAAAAAAGACAGGTGTTGGCATTCGAGTAACCAATTTAAAAGATGAATCAAAACCCTCGACGCAGTCTCTCTTCCTTTTTTCTCTCTCTTCCCCCAAAAACCCAAACCCTCGAAAACGCTCTTTTTTTTCTCTCTCTTCTGTGGCGGCTGATACTCCACAGTCTCCTCCCTCGTCACTCTCTCCGTCGCCGGCTGTTCCTCCCCACTCTCTCTCTCTATAAACCGAGAGATCCGGTCGTTTTAGTCAGAAGCCATGGCCACCGTTGCTCCTCCGGCAGATCGTATCCTTTTCATAAAGTTTAATTTTTTTTATTTTTTTTCCCGTATGGTGTGATTTCTTTCTACTTTTTGGTTGTATTCGATTTGACTTTTGTGTTTTGGTTATGTGGCTGATTTTATATATGAGTTACAGCATGTGTTTTTGTTTATACGTATATAGATCTGAGCTTGTTTAGCCTGCTGCTGCTGCTGCGTGGGGGTTTCGGTTTTTATTGTTCTATGGTTATTTGTTCACTGCCGTCGATTTTTTCTTAGATTTAATTAGGTTTGCTATGTTTCTACCTCTTTTTTCTCACTCGTGCGTATTGAATCTGATTTTATCTTTTTTTTTTTTCGTTAGAAAGCTATTGAGGCCTGCATACGAAAGCCCTGTGGTTTAAGTTGAGCTACTTTTTGAATTATTTCTTCGTTTTTGCTTCGTTTTTTACTAGTTATATAGTTTTCATGAGTTTTGCTCACCATTTTAATTTCTTGAAACTGAAGCCAACTGTGAGACGTCTTAGTTTAGGATTTGGAGCATGTTTTTTTTTTTTTTTTTTTTTTTTTTTTTTTTTTTTAATCCAAGTAGGAAAATCAGGAGAAAATATGTATTCCTTTACTTTTCTCGCTTTTAGAAGCTGCAGATATTATGCAGAAGTTATCTCTGGACTCGCAGGCTAAGACATTTGATGCCCCGGATGCCACTAGAAAGGTTCGTTTGTTTATTTGGGGTATTATTATTAATTTGATAGGCCATTTTGTTTGTTATGACAGACATGGCTAATACTTATTGAATTTGATGTGTTCTGCAGCCTTCAGTGGATTCTAACAACGCGGCTAACGGCGGGATTCAGTCAGATCGATCTGTGACGCCTGTCTTGACCGACTTCACGGATCCATCAATGTATTACGTTCAAAGTAGCTATCCTTCTGCATACTATTACGCTGGTACTGTTTTTGGGGTTTTAGAAAATTCGTTTTTTGTTGCATGTATGTTTCAGTGTATTTGAATTGGGGTCTCTGTGTTACAATTAGTGGTGTTTTACTATGGTTTCTAAATTTCTACCTTTGATACAGGGGGCTACGAAGGGAGTGTCAATGAATGGGAGGACTACGCCAAATATATGAGCCAAGACGGAGCAGAGATGACACCAGTAATTTATTCGATTCTTGATCTGTTTAAAAGTTTCTTCAGTGATTTGCTCTTCATATATTGACTGATTCTTGTTATTTCAGGGGATTTATGGGGACAATTCACTTATGTACCACCACGGCTATGGATATGCTCCTTATGCTCCGTATTCACCAGCTGCCTCTCCAGTTCCAACAGTGGGGCATGATGGTCAGCTATATGGAGCTCAGCACTATCAGTACCCGACCCCTTATTTCCAGTCTTTATCACCAGCAAGTGGGCCCTACCCCACTCCAGCTGCTCCAGCAAAAGGTGAGATAGCAAACGCTGCCACTGGTGATCAAGCACCTTTGTCAGTAGATTCAGCTAATGCGAAGTCTAACGGCATTGCTAATAATGGGGGTCAGAAGGGAAACAACGGTTCTGCACCTGCAAAGTCAGCCTACCAAAATTCGGCTTTTAATGTGAATGGAACCTATGGAAGGGGTACTTTGCCTGGAGGAACTCCTGCATCTGGCTATTCTGGGTATGGATTTGATGGTTTACAGTCGCCAATTCCGTGGTTGGAGAACCCATATTTTTCGGATGGGCAAGCAAGGCCGTTAACTTCTTCGATGAATTCTTCCATTGCAAATGGAAACAATGCCCCTTCCTCTAGGAATCAGAATTACCGGCCACATCTAATGGTATGTTTGGAAATAGTGTCCCTTCAATGAATCTCTTCGTTTTTTGTATATCTGTGAAGCTTTCTGTATGATATTTTGCTCGTCTAAATGTGTTTGTTTTCTTTTCTTTTTCATCCGCAGGGTTTGCACCAACCCAGGCCGATGTCTGGAATGAACACAGCAAATGGATACATGAACAGAATGTATTCTAACAAATTATACAGCCAGTATGGAAATACATACAGATCTGGTATGGGCTATGCATCCAACGGTTACGATTCACGAGGGAACGGACGTGGCTGGATGGCCGTTGATAACAAGTACAAGCCCAGAGGAAGAGGAAACGGCTTCTATAGTTACGGAAACGAGAGTGTGGATGGGCTGAATGAACTGAACAGAGGACCAAGAGCCAAAACTTCCAAGAATCAGAAGGGCTTTACACCCGTGGCTCTGGCTGTCAAAGGGCAAGACACTCCATTGACTGTAACAGCTGAAAACGAGGAGAAATTGTCAAGTGTTGCCCCTGATCGAGAGCAATATAATCAGCCAGAGTTCTCTGTAACTTACGATGATGCCAGGTTTTTCATTATCAAGTCATACAGCGAAGATGATGTGCACAAGAGTATTAAGTACAATGTGTGGGCTAGCACTCCGAACGGCAACAAGAAGCTGGATGCTGCTTACCAGGATGCTCAACAGAGACCTGGAGGCTGCCCTGTTTTCCTCTTCTTTTCGGTTAGCATTCTATCCAAGACTTTGTGCTTTTGTTTGGTTTGTGATGTTTATGTTTGTGTACTTAACTGTTCCGTTTGTTATTTCAGGTTAATACCAGTGGTCAGTTTGTCGGTGTTGCGGAGATGACTGGACCTGTTGATTTCAACAAGAACGTGGAGTACTGGCAGCAAGACAAGTGGGTTGGTTGTTTCCCTGTTAAGTGGCACATTGTGAAGGATTTGCCCAACAGTTTGTTGAAGCATATTACTCTCGAAAACAATGAGAACAAACCTGTAACAAACAGCAGGGACACCCAAGAGGTATATTCTCGTAACTTGAGTGTCCTTGGTTTCTTGATTTGAATTTGGAGGAAATGTTTAAAATTAATGTTCGGTAAAATTTCCTTTTTACAGGTGAAACTTGACCAGGGGCTTCAAGTGCTCAAAATATTTAAAGACCACACGAGCAAGCAGTGCATTCTCGACGATTTTGAGTTTTACGAGGACCGCCAGAAGAGAATTCAGGAGAAAAAAGCCAAGCAACAGCAGTACCACAAACAGGTAATCTTTGATTGTCCTTTTTAAACCGATCTGTTTGCTAGTCTCCTATATTTATCTAATATGCCTGGTGGCTATTGTTTACAGGCTCAAGTATGGGAAGGGAAACCCACTGAAGAGAGGACAAATGGAGATCTGAAGTCTCAAAATCCATCCGAACCAGCATCCGACTTAGTCAAAGAAGTCACATCAGCTGTTCAGACCAACGGGGAGATCAAGGCCGTTGAAAATGTTGTTCTTACAAAATCAGGAGATAGTATCAAGACGGTAAAACCTGCTGACGTGGCGGAGAAGAAGCTTGTGGCGAACGGTATTGCAAATGGTTGCTAGTTCTAGTGACGTCGAAGGACCGGGCCCGTGGAATGAACAGAATTAAAGGGGTAGGGCCCATGAAATGGGCCCGTGGATTCCCATTCTTCCTCATGATGGGTATTGTTTTAGTGTCTAACGGGGTTTTCGTTTCGATGGTGACGGGTTTCGGGTTGTAGGGGTTTAATGTATTGTTTTTTTTTTTTTTTAATCTTTTTTCTTTTTCAATCTAAATCTCTTATTGTGGGTTTTTCTTTTATTAATGTTTTGATTATTGTTTTTTTTTTTCTTATCTTTTTCATTTGTGGGAGTTAATGGTTCGATCTTGTAAAAGCTAGCCTAGCCTTGCATTTGTATCGAAAAGAAAGAGCGTAAAAAAGCAAGGTGGGTAGGGACTTTGGCATTATAGTTTTATTATCAATTTTGTTATTTTGTTTTGCATTAAAAGTTTGTCTAATTTATGTTGTGTAAAATGGTATTTAGAAGGCTCTTTGGTGTTGTAGTTGCAAGGCTAGCTTTAGTGATTTTGTTTTCTTCCCTCCTGTAATTTAGAAAGTGGTTTTTAATATAGTTTTAATCCTTTTAACTTTTGGTTAATTTGAATTATTATAGTATAAATGTTTAATATTAGATATATGCTTCAATACATACCAGATCACCTAAATTTTAGAAATAAAAAGATGGATTCCGAATCCAACCGATTCTGCATTCGATATATGCCAAATTCTTGGTTCGGCAAAGTTCAGTTGATTTTTCAAACCGAAGAATGCATAAGTACCCATATGCTTTTCTTCTATAAACGTTTCAGCTCGTATCATGAATAAGAGGACGGTTTTTTTCCTCAAAGCAAAGTGCACTGGATAAACATAACACTCCTTATTTACATATGACATGATTGTTTGGAAGTATTTTAGCTTTCAACTTGGAGTTTTATATAATGATTAAGTATTGACTCTGTCTACGATTGAGTCATATTAGTTCTTAATGTTAGGGTAATTACGGCTTCCCCTGAGGTAATGTCAAATTACGAAAAAGTCCTATTGTTTGTGTAATTACAATCACCGCTCAACTATGAATCTTCTTACAGGTCTACCATTATGGTGTCAAATTCAACAGCATCTTTTATATTATGTGGAATGTTCTGTAATTTGTATTAGTTTTGTGCAAAAAATGCAGATTCGGATGACCACAACCTGATATTTCACAAGCCAAGAGACACTTCTTATGATCATCTTGTTTCAAAATGTGGAGCTCAAATGGGGTAAAACATGTATAAACAGAAGAATAGTCCACATTATCTTAGAAGATTCCACTAAATTTGACGCCGCAAGGCTAGACGTGTCAGAACTTAGAAGTTTCATACTTGAGGTGATATGTAATTACCCAAAAATAAGAGATTTTTTTTTCTTAATTTTACCTTACCCCAGGGTTGCCGTAATTTCCCCTAATTTTTATTAGTCACCGGAATTAAACTCAAAATAATTCTCTGAATAAAGAAAAGAAATTAAACTCAAAATTAATTCGTATCTAAATCAAAGTGGAAACCCAACGGACAGAAAATTAGTAATAGCGAAATTAAGCCCGGCTAAAAGAAACAAATTAGGCCCGGCCCGGCCCAATAGAGAGGCGCGGAGGAAAAGGAAAGAAGGATAATTTCGGTAATAACAAAAAAGTGTTCCCACATCGATTCCGTAAACTCTCTCTCTCCTCTCTCTCTCCCTTTATATACCCCCCCTTTCTCTCTCTCTCTCTCCTCCCAATATATATACATTCAGATTTACTTTCATCTTTCCTCTCTGCGATATATATATATACCTCCCTCGCTCAATCCTTTCTTCAACCACATATATATATATACACATATACAAACACGCAAAAACACACGCTGAAAAATCATCAATCGCCAATTCAAAATCATCAATCGCAACTGTATTTAAGGCTCCACCCTTTGAATTTCTTACCGCGCTCGCTGTGTACCCCCTTCGATTTCTTCGATTATAACATAAAACCCCAGATCCTCTCAAATCCACACGTATAAAGGTCTCATCTCCCGACTATTTCTTCAATTTTTGAATCCCTGCGCCGTTTGTCACTCCGATTTGTTTGTTTTTCGATGTAGTTTTGGTTGGGCCCCTTTGCATCTATTTTCTAATTTAGGTCAATTATTTTTTTTTTCCGATTTTGGGAAAGGGTATGATTGGGGATGCATTATCTTGATTAGTAATGGTGTCTGTTAGATTTCGTGGGTGAATTGATGGGTTTTTGATTTGATTCGTTTTCTCCGTTTGCCCTTTTCCCTTTATTGACTGAAAATTGAAGTGGGATTTCAAATTGGAAAGAATATTAGGAATCAAAGTTCTCCGTATGCAAGGGGTATTGACTTCTATCTGTTTTTGTTGTCACAGGTGGTAAAATTTTGCTCGAAATTCAACAAAAAGAAAGGGTAGATTTTATTTGATGGCAGATCCTCAAGGGTTGGAAGGTAGCCAACCAGTTGATCTCACCAGACATCCTTCTGGAATTGTTCCGATTCTCCAGTGAGATACTGTCCCGACTATTTTCAGTAGTTTACCGTGTTTATGTTCCATGTTTTATAATTTGGATGATATTTGGTGCAAATTATGCTTGAAACATTATCACATTGGATATGAAATAAAATCCTTGTTCAATGATAGATGACTTGCATTAAATTTGTCGGCTTAACGAATGATGGTTGTGGAAATACGAGTAGGTACAATATTTTTTTTTTTGGGTCGAAGTCGGGCAAATATTTATGAAATCAGTAACTCGTACGTGGGCTGAACTAATATGCCAAGCTCTCTCACGGTCTTAGCTCAGTGGCACAAAAAGTATCACTGAAAAAAAATGAACTATTTGTTTCATTGCCAAATGAACTATTTGTAGTGACATTATTGAAAGACTGTTGTATTTGTTTTTCATTGTTCATGTTGCGAACATTTCACAACTGGTAAATAAGTTATGTCTTGAGCAAAAGCTATGAGATGGTGTGATAGTCTGAAATTCATTATATGCGTTTTAGACTTTTAATTCGTGTGTATATCTATTAATATGCTCCGATTTGTTGTATTTGTGCAGAAATATTGTATCAACAGTCAATCTGGACTGCAAATTAGATCTCAAGGCTATCGCACTGCAGGCTCGCAATGCAGAGTACAATCCAAAAGTATGCATTTTGGTTTGCATCTTTTGTTAGCCTCAGTTTGTCAGCTCAAGTAAAAACTCATCACGTTATGGCCTCTCCATTTGCAATAGTTTCTATGAACATGTTTAGGACTCAAAAGTCACCTAAAATTCATTAGAATGGGATAGCCTCAATCTTATCTGTACAACATTACAGTCAAATCAAAATTTTCTTATGTATTCTTACGATTTTGTAAGTACACAGGAAATGAATGCACATAGGTGATTAGTTGTATAATTCTATGTCATTGTAACTTACGGTTACTACGGGGAAACTAGCATAAACTATGGCTTCTGTATCCTTTCAGCTTTTTCCTTAGGGGTGGCTAGTTTTTTTGCCCCCCTTTCATTGTACTTCGTTCCGTAACTCGGCCAAAACAAGTGAAAAAGTTCTCAAAAATTTGTTGGTTTTATGTGCTGTTGACTATTTTTATTGTATGCCACGCATACTTAATACGTACTCTTTAATGAGATTTCAGCGTTTTGCTGCTGTGATTATGCGGATTAGAGATCCAAAAACCACGGCTCTAATATTTGCATCTGGAAAGATGGTAAGTTCTGATTACTTACACTCGGGCATTATATTTGTATTAATCATGTGATTGTACTTCTTTTCATTCCTGGAGATGTGAACAAGCATGCCATGAGATTTATTGCATATTTATCTCCTTGTTAATTATTTTTCTCATTGCTGCTTCAGGTTTGTACAGGAGCTAAGAGTGAGCAACAGTCGAAATTGGCTGCTCGCAAGGTATCACATCATAGTATATGCATGCTTCCGATTTAATAAACAGTTTACTGGGCTGACTTTTAAGATTATCTAACAACCTTTTTCCCATATGGAATTTTGTGATTATCTTCTTTCCTTAATTATTTGTTCTCACCTTTCTATCTCTTTCAGTATGCTAGAATTATTCAAAAGCTTGGCTTCCCAGCAAAGTTTAAGGTATTGATCTAACCTCTTGACTGTTCCTTTGATGACTCGGTATTTGGTTTTTTGCTTTTCTCAGACAAGATTTTTTGCTGATCAGTTTCATGTGTGTCTTCTCTACTTGTAGGATTTCAAGATTCAGAACATAGTCGGTTCCTGTGATGTAAAATTCCCTATCCGACTCGAAGGGCTTGCATATGCCCATGGTGCTTTCTCAAGTGTGAGTAATTAATTGTCCCCTCTTTTGTTTTATTACGAAAATCTTGTGAGTACATAGGACTGGAAAACCATACGATAAAGTGCATAAAGTTCGTGACTATCTACGTGCTATTAATACATGACATGATTTTTCTCGTCAACAAATTGAATTGTTTCTAGAGTTTATATAAGTAAAGAATAGATAACACGAGGTAGAGTATATGATAAAAGGTACGTATTTTTAGAATTTCAGCTGTCAATGTCAATAATTTGGTACAACACTGATAACAAACAGAAATAGTCAAAACAAAATCAGAAACGATTTTATTTTTAGTACTATTTGTATCTACTTTACATTTACGGTGATATCTGTGTAATATGAGTAACATGGCATATTTCCTTTTTTGTGGTCATAATAACATTATAAGAACTTCACAGACCAGAAACCATGGACATGTTATATGACATACATCATGCACTGTATAAACTATGTTGTGATTTGCCATGTACAAATTATTCCCATGGAAGAGTGTTTATTCGTAAGTAAGGGTAAAAATGTCTTTGAATTAAAAAAACTGACCTTTTTGTTCTATTATAATATTCGAGTTACGTAAATATGTAACTGTGCTATTATAATTATTTAGTATTTATATTAAATTTTGTTTTCTACAGTATGAGCCAGAACTCTTCCCCGGATTAATATACCGGATGAAACAGCCAAAGATTGTGCTCTTGATTTTTGTCTCTGGAAAGATAGTTCTCACTGGTGCTAAGGTATTGAATATAGCTTTCGTTCGTTCTAATGCATTTCTTTCTCTCATGGTATTCTTACAGCTTATCATGTCTTAGATATAGTATAACATTTTTATGTGTTATTAACAATTTCAGGTCAGAGATGAGACCTATGCAGCCTTTGAGAATATATACCCAGTTCTGAACGAATTCCGGAAAGTTCAGCAGTGGTATGTCTAGAAACATACAACTGAAACATAAATTAATTTTATGCCAAGTATTCAATCTTGATACTGATTTATTAATTTAATTTCTTTGTCGTTTTGTAGATTTATCGAGAAGTTTGATGCCATCTCTAAAGGATCTTGAAGAATTCAAGGGAACCTTTGTTTGCACCTGCTGTGTGTGGGGTTTTCACCTGTAAATAACTTGTAGTGTTTAGCCAATTCGCTTAGAGATAACTACGGTTGGTTAGAGTGAGCCATTGCGTTGGCAATTTTTTTCACCTCGGCTTTTTTCGATCTGTATTTTGTACTTACTATGCGAAATCAAACTATTTGAGCCGATGCTCGTTCATCCGAACAGATCAAACAAATTTTTTTCCTGTGAGTTATAGTTATATGTTGCGTTCGTTTTGTCCTTAAACCCGAGCACAAATTTACGTTCAATTTCAAATACTTAACCCAAACATTACTAACTTTCTTCCATAATTTACATCAACTTTGTTGCTAGATTCTATTAGTTATAATCACTTTCTAAAACTTATCCAAGAACCATTTATCAACAATAAACTGATTGTGACTGCAAATAGTCCCACAAAATATCCCAACCCAAAAGGCACATTATACCAAGAACCCTCGTTCTCTTCTTCTTCTTCCTCATTCGTGTCGACGTTGTTGTCTTGTCCGGTAATCGTACAATTTCTTCTCAACAAATAACCGCAAAGTTTCGGATTCCCTTCAAAATCGTCAGCAGTGAAAGTATCAAATTGTCCCTTCCTCGGAATCTCCCCTTCAAGATCATTATTCGCCACGTTAAAATACGACAAGAAATTCAGCTCCGTCAAAGATTCCGGAATCTTTCCCGATAAATGGTTCCCCGACATATCCAATCTCTCCAAATTCACGAGGCCCGACAGCTGGTGAGGAATCCCACCGTTGAAGTTGTTGTTGCTCAAATCCAACACACGGAGGAGTTTCAACCTTCCGATTTCTTCCGGAATGTTCCCGCTGAGACTGTTGTTCCCGACTTTCAACCCTCGTGGTAAGTTGAAGAGGCGGTTGTACTGCAAGCTGTCGAACAAGAACGGGAGTGCTAGGTGGCTCAAATCGGAGCTCGTGTTGTCGGATATCAAGGAGGGTAAAAGGGTAATTTCGTACGGGAGATCTCCTGTGAGGAAGTTTTTCGTCAGGTTTAAGACGAACATGCTCGGCATATTCCCTAGCCATTTTGGAATCGGACCCGAAATCTTGTTGTAGGAGAGATTCAGTACTTTGATTCTCCTCAATTTCGAAATCCAAAAAGGGATTCTTCCCTCGAGTTTGCAACCTCCGAGAGTCAATATCTGCAGATTTTCGAATCCGCTCAAATTCAAAAGATCATTATCATCGGGCATCGGTTCGTCACTGAAACACCTGGACATGAATAAAACCGCGAGATTCTCGCAGTGCCGGAGAATTTTTAGAGCTCCGGCGACATTGGACAAGTAATTATCGGAGATCGAAAAGTGTGATAGTGATTTGAGTGAAGACATGCAAGGTGGGATTTCGCCGGTGAGTTTATTGTAGGCTAATCGGAGGGCGGTCAAAGAGCGGCACAGGCAGAGGCTGTCGGGGACTTTTCCGGTGAAAGTGTTGTTGCCGAGATCAATTGCCTGGAGTTTCTGTAGTTTGGAGAAATCGAGAACGGAAATTTCTCCGGCGAAGTGGTTGTTTCGTAAGAGCAGAGTGTTGAGATTTGATAAGTCTGTTAGGGAGTGGGGTAGGGTTCCGTTTAAGCTGTTTGTGTGAAATTGGAGCTGCTCCAATTTGGAGAGGAGACCGATGTTGTTCGGTATCTCGCCGGTGAATTCGTTCACGTGGAGCTCTAAAATGGTGAGATTAGAAAACAGAGAGATTCTACCGTCGATTGGACCGGAAAATTGGTTGTTGCAGAGAGAGATTTCCTTTAACGTACGGATACTGTAGAGATCGTTCGGCAGCCAACCGGAGATAGAATTGAAACCTGCTCTGAGAATCTGCAACTGCGAGCACTCGCCCAATCCGTGATAAATACGGCCGGTAAATTGATTCATGGAGAAATCTAGGGTTTCGAGAAACGGCGAGGCGGAGCAGATGGAGGAAGGAATCGCGCCGGAGAAGCTGTTGTTGCTGATATTAAAGGCGATCAAATTCAATCCCCGTCGCCGGAGGGAGAGAGAATCGACGGTGCCGTTGAAGCGGTTGCTCGACAGATCTAGTATTTTGATGGAGTGAGGAAACAGAGAAGGGAAAGCGCCGGAGATACGGTTGCCGGAGAGATTGAGGTGAGAGAGAGAGGAGAGGTTTGCCAGGAACGAAAAATCGGTGATTGCTCCGGCGAGGGATCTCTCCGGCAGCCATAAACGCGTCACACGGCGGAGCAGGCCGTCGCCGTCGCCGGTGCAGGAAACGCCTTCCCATTGGCAACAATCGTCGGCGGCGACGGAGGAGGACCAATTGAGGGGAGGGGAAGAGGAGATTTGGTGGTGGAAAGAGAGAAGGGAATCACGGTCGATAGGGTTGCAGGAAAGTACAATACTTCCATGGATGAGAAGAATTAGGTTGAAGAAGAAGAAGGTGAGAATTGACATGGATTAATATTATTTGAGCCCACTTCTCTTCACAGCTCTCAATTAATGGCTTATATATACATACATACATACACATATACATACATGTCGACAGAGAGCATCTCTCACTCTCTCTCTCTCTCTACACAGACTCAGACTACTGACTGAGTGAAGAGAGAGAGAGAGAATGTGTGTGTATGTGTGTGGGGTTGAGTCTCTCTACTCATAAAGGTACGGATGCGGAGATTGAGTCTCAGAAGTGGGGTTGCCAGAATTTCCAAATGCAGTAGACTTCAAGTCTTGGGGGTATGTATATACCACCAAATCAAATTCATTTTGTTTTTTGTATTTTCTAAATTTTATTTATTTATTTTTTTTGTTTGTAATTATATAGTGAAATTCATTGGCCGTATAATTATTTATTTGACCTCCACCACTATGGGTGCAAGTTGGAACGGAATTTCCAATTTCCGCCGGTTCCGATCCGAAAAGTTCCGATTTTGGAACAACTTTTTTCATTCCAACTTCCGAAATTCCGATTTCCGAATATTTCCGATTTTTTTGGATTGGAATTGGAATTATATAAAATAAATTTGGAATTTTCGATTTCCGATCAGATTTAATTCCGGAATTAATTCCGAAATAATCCGATTTTTTTTCCGAAAAATACACCTATAAATAATATATATTATATAATACTTATTTTTCTGAAAAATACAACTGTAAGTTTTGTTTTAGGATTTTGACATAATGAATTGTTGTTAGAAGTTTTATTGGATATTATGTTGTGTTTTTTTTTTAACTGATTTTATAGTTATTAGTTTTACTTTTATCGACGTGGATGTTCTAATTTTTGAAATATTATGAACATTTTAGAAAATCTCGGCTAATTTTTGAAATTTTAAAGCTTATGAGATTTCCGATTTTTTTCCGAAATCCGAAATTTCCGAGCCTTTTGGAATTGGAATGAATTTTTAGATTCCGAAAATTTTGAAATTGGAATTGGAATTGATTTTGTACTTCCGACTTTTTTTGGAAATTTTCCGAAAAGGCTTATTCCGATCCGATCCATCCGACTTTCACCACTATCCACCACTATTTGGTTGTTTTTCATTTGTGGAAATTGGAACATAATTTTCAAATTGTGCGACCTAAATATTTTGATCTAGGGACATTATTTTTAATTTCTAATTTTAAATTTCATTTATTAATTTTTTTTTCCGACGAGAATTGGAATACATATCATATTTATGTTATATTACACTTGCAATGGATTTTTTGAATTCTGCATGTTCCAATCCGAAAATTCTGATTTTGGAATAAAAAAAATTTGCTCCAATTTTTGACACTGTCACTTCTGATGGTCGTGTTATTTATTTGACCTCCACCGTTTGAGTGTCGTTAAGTATCTCTCGAAGTGCACTTTGAAATTCCACTCTCATGTAATATTTTGCATAACGTATCCTTCTTTTTTTTTTTTTTTAATTTTTTTTGTGCTGTGTACATATTTACATACGAACATGTCTAATTTTGCACAACCATATTTATTCTTATTTTTTTGATACTTCATGTTTTTTTGACAAAGAAACTGCTGATGTGCATCTCTAGCAATAACTCGCAAATCACACAAGATGTGACGAAGTTAGCCTAAAAAATATTGAATCAAACTCGAATTATAATTTTTTTGCGTATATATTTACATATAAACATGTTCAATTTTGCACAACCACACTTATTCTTATTTTTTGAATTTTCGTGTTTTTTGACGAAGAAACCTTCAACTGCTAATGTGCATCTCGTGTAATAACTCGCAAATCACATGAGAGATGTAAATCGTATCGAGCAAGTCAGATGTAATGAACTTGGCCTAGAAAATATCGAATCAAACTCAAATTTTATATATATTTTTTTGCCTATTTCATCAATGAAGTCATTCTTATAAGGATAAATTCCTATTTCAACCTTGACAACCAATGAGAGAGAAGCCCTTCTATATGGCAAAATATAGTAGAGTAGATAAAGGCCATTGCATACTTTGTTTTTAAGCTATATATATAAACCATCAAACTTTGACTTTTCAACACCACCATTTAGGAAGTTTCATGGAAATTTTAAAAAAAATCTCAAATTTGCATAGTGTTACTTTTTCCCCAAGTTGATGAACTGTATATTCTCAAATTTTAAAATTGATTACTAATTGTGTTAATTTGCCTTGGAGATAAATATTATTATCCTGGACTATAATGGATTCGAGCTAGCTGACTCCTATGTCCCGTTTGGTTGGTAAGATTAATCACGACTAATCAAATAATTGAACTTTTACGATATTTTGTCAGTCAGTCCAATAACTTTTCGAATCGACCCGCAATCGTGAAAAGAAAAAAGACAGCTCTGATCTTGACTAATTGGTAAATTATTTAATGAGCTTCTCGTGATCCAACAATACAATTGAATATTCATATGATTATTTAAATTTATGGTGGTTAATGTTATCTTAAGAATATGAGTATTAAATATTCCCCAACATTGAAATTTATATTATTTATATATACTATTGTATTTATTTAATAACAATCCATAATATATAGTTATTACTTATTAATTTTAATAAGATTCTACACTTGCCATTTTCTTTTTCTTGTCAAAGTATGAAACATAAATAAATATGCCAGGTCAGCAATAGTGGTGTTTACGGAAAACAAAAAATTGAAGTCATAGTCTATATTATAATTAGTGGGAAAGTAGTTTAATCTCAAGACTTTGAAAAACCACTACATATGTTTCTATTTTATTTTGAGAAAATATACATTTAATAGAAGAATTTGGAAATAATGTAATATTTGTTTATCACTTGTAAGGGGAATTGTAAAAAGATATTTAAAAAAATAAAAATTTAAAAGTGATGTTTAATTTTGTTTTAGTGAATAAATTTCGAGTGTGACAGTCAAATCATATTTAAAAGAGGTAAAAAAACTTTAAAACTCTTAATAGGATTTTTTAAAGCTTAATAATTAGAATTCCATTTTGAGAGTATTGAGAAGAATTTAAAATCTTTACCAAACATTGCAAGTTATTGAATTGAAGTTTATAGGTTCATGAGATGCTGTACGTGGTGAAAAATATCGGGTAATTTTACAGCATAAATCTATATAAATAACTATCCACTAATCATACATATACACAAATGTGTGTTATTATGTGTAGATCAATTATGCAGAATCATTCAGTGTATTTAAGCAAGCGTAACATCTACAAAACCGAGTCAAAATTCAGTATGGTGCAAGTCAATATGGTCAATTGAGTTGTGACCCACTCTTCCTATAAAGTTTGTGTTCTACTCAATTTTATATGTCCAATTGACAGGAAAAGAAAAGTAGTTGTCGAGGATTAACAAAGTATTAAAATATATATAAGAGTACCCCAAATTTGAATTAACCAAAACATTTTAGAAGATTAATTTTAAATTTAGAAGACAAATTGTCCTTATTCTTAATTTTAAAGATATGTTTCTAGCGTATATAGACTATGATCTCATTCGATAACAATTAACACCGTCAACAAATTAATATAAGAAAAATTAATACCACCTATCCCAAAACTTAGTGGCACGAAACTCGGGCATCTGATTATCAAGGTAAAAGAAGAAATAGAGTATTTTGATATTATGAAAATCGATAATTTATTTTCTACTTGAACGGAGGAATACGTATAAGACTTGCAAAATATATTTTTGAGTGCAGAATAAGAAATATAGTTGAAGTGATTTCTTTGAAATTCAATTGAAGTTCCACTTTTTATTTAAGTTGCAATTTGCAATATTATATACTATACTTTTGTAATATAATGTAATTGCAATTAGTAAATGGGTCATAATTAGAGGCCCCTTGACTTATCCTTTGACTTACATTGAATCTTTATGCATGCTTTTCCTCATTAAAAAATGGATTTATTATTATTATACAAGTCTAGTT